ATGGCTTGAAACAGGCTCCTCGGTGCTGGTTTAAAAAGCTTTCTGATTCGCTCTTACGGTTTGGATTTGTGCAATCCTACGATGATTACTCTTTGTTTTCTTACACCAAAAAGGGCATTGATATTCGCGTTTTGATCTATGTTGATGATCTCCTCATTTCTGGTAATGATGCTTCTATGGTTCAGAAGTTTAAAGACTACTTAAGTCGTTGTTTCTCTATGAAGGACTTGGGGAAGCTAAAATATTTTCTTGGCATTGAGGTGAGTCGTGGCTCTGAGGGCATTTTTCTCTCTCAACGAAAATATGCACTTGACATCATTAAGGATAGTGGTGATCTCGGTTCTCGACCAGCTTCTACTCCTTTAGAGCAAAATCATCATCTTGTCACTGATGATGGTCCATTACTTAAGGAGCCACGACAATATCGTCGTCTTGTTGGTCGCTTGTTGTATTTGCTTCATACTCGGCCGGAGCTGTCCTATTCGGTTCATGTGTTGTCGCAATTTATGCAAACTCCGAGAGAAGCTCACATGGATGCTGCGTTACGTGTGGTACGTTATTTGCAAGGTTGTCCCGGTCAAGGGATTTTACTACACTCCACTGTCGATTTAACTTTGGAGGTTTATTGTGATTCGGATTGGAGTACTTGTCCGCTGACTCGTCGTTCTCTCAGTGCTTATGTTGTGTTATTTGGTGGTTCCCCCATTTCTTGGAAAACTAAGAAAAAAAACACAGTTTCTCATTCTTCCGCCGAAGCTGAGTATCGGGCAATGTCATATGCCCTTAAGGAAATCAAATGGCTTCGCAAGTTGTTAAAGGAATTAGGCATCGACCAAGCTGCGCCAGCTCGTTTGTATTGTGATAGTAAAGCGGCTATCCATATTGCCGCCAATCCAGTTTTTCATGAACGTACTAAGCATATAGAGAACGATTGTCATGCTGTTCGTGATGGCATTATTTCTACACAACATGTTCGAACCACGGAGCAACTGGCTGATATTTTCACAAAGGCTCTCGGTCGCGATCAGTTTTATTACATTATGTCCAAGTTGGGCGTTCAAGATCTTCACACTCCAACGTGAGGGGGAGTATTGAGGATAAGTTCGTATATTATGTTATGTTTATCTTCTTATTGTGATAAGGATTAGCAGCCCGAAAGTGTATAGGATTAGGGCTTATTTTAGAGGTCATATCTCTTGTATAAATACACAAGTTCATAAATCAATAAAGTCAAGTTGGTTCGATATCTAATTCTACAAAATGATAGACCTTTATACTTTTGTAATTAGACAAATCTGCTCACATCATTTTTTGCCATTTTTTATGTTCATATATCTAGGGGATATAATACATCATCATACTTTTGTAATTAGACATTTTCAGGGTTTAGAATGAAGTTGTTATACCAATACATATTATGAAAAAAAATCAACTCTTCTATAATTCTGAGATAGTTTTATTGTTCCTCAGTTATGCACATAAAAGACATTTGCCAGTGGCCAATGGTCCCAACCTTGATATGTTTGCAAATGAGACTTTCAAAAAAAAAAAAGAACTCATTAATGGAGATTCATATTCAAAGGCATTTTTTTATAATACTTTTTAGAAAACAATGAAAAAAGCTTTTGTTTACATTTCTGGAAGAGAAGCAACTCACAAATAATATTTGTAAGTTGAAATTTATAAGAGCAAAAGTGATTTTAGATGGTTATGAATATATTATTTTTATTGAAATTACTAAAAGGTAACACGAACGATAAACCCACAAAGATAAAACAGCATAATTATGATTTTATCATATTGACATTATTAAAAGGTTTCATGAACCCAACCAAACATAGCAAAATTATGATAGATTAAAAACGAAACCTAGTGGTCATCAGTTTTTGTCCGAGATCGTCCTTACAATAGAAGACCTTGAAATCGCAGTTGGGATCTGCTATAGTCTCTAAAATCATCTTCGCGGTGCGCTCTTGCCTCACATTGGCAATACTTTTTTCCACCAGCACCGCTCCGACGATCTTATCGAACCCTTTGCCTCGGCCACGAGCCACAAAATCAACCAGCGCAGCTTGTACTGGCCCCAAACTAGGGATAGCCGCCACTGATTCAATGTACCATCCACGGTACACGTTCCCCTCGTTGTCAAGCAGTGCCACTCCCGACGGAGAGTCAGTGTACGGAGAGAACGAACTGTTTGCCGCGGCTAGAGCCCTACACTTCAAATGGGAACAATCTGTTTCTGAGCAGATCTCTCCTTGGACAGGACTCGGGAGGCTCAGGTAGTTATCGCGCTTGTCGAGAAGGAGAGGGGTACCCTTTGGGAGGACCTGGTCCGGGGTTAATCTGTCTGAAAAGAGGCACTTAAGGGTCGTGAATGATGCTTCTACACGCTTTGATCTAGATAGGATTTTGATGTCAGGTGCGTTGCTGATCTCCAAAAGAAACTGGCGGCAGTTTCCGCACGGCGCGCCGATCTCGATGCCGTCGGTAGAGACACCAACGGCTAATTGACGGAGGCCTTCCTCGGAGTTGAGGGCAAGGTTGGTGACGAGGAACTGCGTTGCATGGATGGATTGGTTAAGAGGAAGACCTGGGAAGTCGACATTGACTCCTAAGTAGACCCGACCCGATGATGCGCGCCCAACGGCTCCGACTTTGTACGTAGAGATTGGAGCCCGAGCGAGTGACATCGTCTTTTTGATCAGCATTGGAAGTCTCTTGGGTTCGGTGACGCCTTCTGATGCTGCTTCGTTGGCAGTGTAAACGAACTTGTACGCATCTTTTGCTATAGTCGTGTTTTGAGATTTCATGTTGGGAGGTTGGAAATAAGATTCGAAATTGGGCTTTTCTGCCATTCTCTGGTTTCGGATCGTGTGTTTGATGATATTTTATGTTGAGAGTTGGAAATGAGATGAGAAGTGAGATAACGTGTTTACCTCTTTATATAGATGTGTTTGTGTCTCTGTGCTTATTGAATAATCGTGCATGTTTACGTCATTCGTATAAGCCAAACAAATGAGAATAATACCGTGTGAATTACAAGATAAAATTAAAAGGTGATTGTGACTGCCAAGACTCATGAAATAGTTTTTTAATCAAAGCAGTTAGGTTAATTTTCTTGTTATAAAATGTAATGTCATGAAGAGTAGTAAATATTAAATAAAAAATTATGTAGTGGAGACTAGTAGTCCTTAAAATTTTATTCATAGTAACATTTTAATGGTTTAATTAAATTGTAATATAAAAAATTAAAATGGTTTTTGCGTCAACAACAGACGCAACCTTAAGATGATTAAAAAGGTGATTGTGCCTATGGACTCATTAGCCATCTCATAATTAGGTGTATATGAATGCTTTTTCAAATGGTGTATTTACATCGTAAGTAAAGATACATGCACACGCAATAATATAAATTACATACGAGATTTTGACTGTATTCGTCATCAAGACTAGCCCATGATGACTCATGCATGAACCATTTTTCCAAAACAAATACATGCATGTACGATTTTAAGTATTTAGGATTACTTTAGTAGTCTTAATTAATTAATTAGTCACAAGTTCATGGTATGAATAGTAAAACAAACAAAAATTGGGACAATAGTGTATGAAATTGTGACAATATAAAAACAAGTATACATGGATCGTCACTTGTCTTTGAAATTGAATCTTATTCAGAAATGAGTACTTTGGCTAGATCATTTTGAGTTTTGAACTTGAATTGAATGTATGATTTATTCGAAAAATAAGCTTACACAACTCAAAAATCCAAAGTTCATATGATTTTATTTTCTTAAGTTAAGTCCAGTTAACTTTTTGTGAATTATGGATTGAAACTTTTCACGAAACTTTTCAGGAAGAGAAATAAATGAGAAGAGAAATTTTTGGTTTATTTACAGTTACTCCCCAAAACTTTGTAAAAATAAAGAAAAGCCCCTAACAAAGAGAAACGACCACGTAAGAGTGGTTTGGATCACTAGACTCGAAGCGTCATCTTCATCGATCGATATGTGCGACACATCATCTCATCGTCATGTTGTTCCGTCTTGAAAAGTTCAAACCTTTTTGCAAATCAGACAAAACCCAACAATCTACGAAACAATGTCCAAAACTTGTAATTTTCATAGCCTCAGATCCAATTCTCTGCCTCCGTTTCTCTCCTCCACCGGAAATTCCCGTTTCCTCCGAGCTTACCCTGCTCTCAATCTCCTAACGACTGCTTCGAAACCATTCCACCGTTGCATTCGCGCTTCTTCACGTCGCCGGGTAGTTCTCGGTGGTTTTGGCGGCGTTTCGTTGTGGATGAACAACAACATGTCCGGTACTTTTGGCGGTAAATCTTTCATTGCTTCCGCGAGGCAGACGAATCCTTCTCCCGTCGAACAGGTCTATTTCACTTTCGCTTCAACCAGGGTTTCGATTCAATAGCTTGTTGAAGTTTGTAGCTTTAGGGATTTGGGTTTATCATTGACTCTGGCAATTTAAAAAATCGAAATGTAGGCTAGTTGTTCAAAGTTTGTAGCTTTATGAAATTTGAACCCATTTCCTTGGTTTCAGGCGTTGAATAAGGTGGATTGGCCTGAGACTTTCCCATTTAAAGAAGAAGATTTCCAACGATACGATGAGTAAGATTACAGTTCTAAGGTTTTGTTATAGTCTTACTCTGTTCTGCTCTCTGTAAGGCATAATTGAGTCATAGTTTTGTTTTGAAATATACTGAGGTCTTGTTGACATGTGTCCCAAACTTTCCCTAAGGTCATCTGATTCAACATTCTATGAAGCTCCAAGGTTTGTGACACACATTGATGATCCAGCCATAGCTGCATTGACAAAGTATTACTCCAAGGTTTTGCCTCAGAGCGATACTCCTGGAGTGAGCATACTTGATATGTGTAGCAGTTGGGTATGTACAAACTGCAAATCCTTTTTTAGTGTGTCAATTGTTCTTATTAAGAATCATCTGAAGTTAGATTATTGGCTGTTATGATGTTACATTACATAGGTCAGCCATTATCCAGCAGGATATAAGCAAGAACGAATAGTTGGGATGGGTATGAATGAAGAAGAGCTTAAGCGCAATCCGGTAAAGAACATTCAATATTATGTATTTACTACTTAGAGATGAGGTGGATCATCAGATGATAGGATCTTATTGTCTCTCTCAGGTTCTCACAGAGTACATAGTCCAAGACTTAAATCTCAATCCAAAGCTACCTTTTGAAGACAATTCTTTCCAAGTTATTACCAATGTGGTAAGACCACACTTGCATTCTTTTTAACATCTCTAAAACTTGAATTTTGTAATTGAATCTCAAGCTCTTACAAATTGGTATGTTTCTTGGCATCTGAACAGGTAAGTGTGGATTATCTTACAAAGCCACTTGAAGTTTTTAGGGAAATGAACAGAATCCTCAAGCCCGGAGGACTAGCTCTAATGAGGTTCTCTTTAACCTAAACTCAAATTTTGTGACACAGTAATATTATGCATATTCACATGGTGTCAACCCGCTCATTTCCTCTTATCTTTCTTTGCAGCTTTTCAAACCGTTGCTTCTTTACTAAAGCAATATCGATATGGACATCAACTGGTGACGCAGATCATGCCCTCATTGTTGGATCATACTTTCACTACGCTGGAGGATTCGAATCTCCTCAGGTATTTCTGTATATTTCATCAACACACCTTATTAGAATCCTTTTTAAGAGCATTAATTTCCATGTTTCTTGGTGATGAACTCGTTCCAACTTGTGATCAATCCAGGCTGTTGATATATCTCCAAATCCAGGGCGTTCAGATCCTATGTACGTTGTTTACTCAAGAAAACTCCTGGTGGCTTAATAACATCCAGATCCAAACACTTCATGTATACACATAATCTTTAGACCAAACTGAGATAGAAACCGAGAAAATTAATGTTATTGAAAACAACTTCAGAAATCTTGTTTATAGAATGTGCCATCTCTCAAGATGTGGGAAATTAGGAATACAAACAACCTCTGTTCGAAAACGTCTGGACATTTTAAGCTAACATGTCTCGAACCACCTCTTAACTTCATGACAAAGGTGTGCTGGATCACCATCTGTGTTTTTTCTTACCACAGTTCGGTGATCTTTGATCAGACCACAGGGACTGTAACTAATGTAAAATTTGCATTCCCGGCCTAGCTTTACCTTCGATTCTATGGCTTCATGAGTTTGCACAACGACCTTCTTGATCTCTAAAGGCGTAGCAAACTTAACCTTTATCTGGGAGACAAAAAAAGATAAGTAGCACCAACATGAACTTTTACATATGTAACCAAAAGCTCAGGCATGTAAAAACATCAACCAAATATGCGTACATTCCTTCTTCCAAAACATAAATAAGTCTTTCTTGATTCGTCCCCATGTTTGCTGCCAAATAACCTAGACGACACGGAATCATTTGGCTTCATAAGTAAATCAGATAGAAAATAAAATTTCTCTTAGTGGGTAATTCAATTGATATGAATATTTTGATCAAACAATTTTGGGTTTAACCGTTTCACCCATTAGTAACTTTAAACCAAGACGGTAATTTTGATAGGATCGATTTTTCAGTAGTATATTACATTTGCAACATAAAACAAAATAAAACAGCAAGAATTAAAGATAGCTAACAAATCTCAGGCTGCAAAACTTGTAAGTTAACAGAGCGGCCTCACATATCCTCGAGCCAACATTTAAACTCAAGACAAACATGTCCTGGAATCCCATCGACGGTTCTTCTTACAATGGCTCTGTGATCTTGAGGTGAACCATGAGGAGGATTCAAGCCTCTGAAACAAATGTAGAAGGTCGCATTCCCAGCCTTGAGCTTTTCCTTTGACTCCACAGCTTCACGAGTCTGTACAATGACCTTCTTTATTTGCAGAGGCACACAAGACTCGAGACTTGCCACATGTCCTTGCCACAGCGAGTAAAACGCAGCTTCAGTGTACAGATTAAGCCAGTTGTGTTCTCGGATATCTGATTCTTGCATCTCATAAAACTGATCATGCTCACTGGATGACATCAAAGCATCAAGTGCAACCCACTCAGATAGATTGCCTTTGTATAAATCATCTATTGCTTCGTCATCCCATAGCTTTATTTCATCTCCAGTACCTGTTTACAACATTTTCCAGAATCATCAAGACTACAAATTTACGATGACTACGAAAAAATTTACAACCCAGACCAATCAAAACCACACATGAAGTCACCTTGAATTTTGGGTTTAATTCTACAAACTTCAGCGACTATCCTCAGATCTTCGTCGTTCTTACATTTAGAACTTGTAACACATGTCTGGAAAGTGAAACGTGAATCGTTGGCAGGATCAATAGCTTGGGCAGTTATATGGTAAGTCATAAGCGCACAGAACCTAGAAATATATTTATCAACGTGCACCAACTGAAGGTTTGATCCCTAAAATCAGAGATTGTATAGATGAAGGTCAAAACCCATATGTAGAGAGAAAGAAAGAACACAACAAGTAGTGGGTTACCTTGTGAAGATTGTACCAATGGAGTCCCACTCTAGTACAAATGCCAACCGTGTCATCACGACAGTCCTCTCGTTGTTGAACACATGGAATGAAATATTTGGAGAAATACGTATATTAACATCAAATCCCTACAAAACAATATATTCAGAAACACAAATCTCATTACGAGAAAAACGACCACATCCCAAGCATAAAGACATCAATAACAATTGAGATTAGGTGAAAAAAGATTTACATCGGAGTCCCAAACTTGGTTATAGTACTCTTGCTCCAAAACAGGGTCAACTTCATCATCAGATTCGTCAGTCCATCCAGATGGTGGATTGTAGTGTACAGCGGCATACCATTCTTCTTTCGGTATAAAACCGGAACTAATTACCGGATCATACGAAGAAGACACGGTGGTCTCTTCAACTTGCGGTGGTTCGGGTTCGAGTGCTACCATATCCTAAAACTCTACATGACAGGAAACATATGTGGGTCGTCAGCAGTATTGACAACACAAAACCCTGATATACACATTTTATAATGGCTAAAAATGTATCAATCAAATCACATGAGGAGGAACAACTGAAATTTTGAAAATCCATATATAAAAAGAACCATAGACGAAGATTTGCAAACTCCTAAACAATTTCAGCCAATAAGAAGTTAGATCTACGATGGCTAAGATAAAAGCGAACAGAGACAAGTAGAAGAAGAAATTGAGAAATCGTCGCGAACCTGGTAATCGTCTTCTTCGTCGATTTTGCTTGCGGGATGGCAACGGAGGAGAACAAGTAGAAGATATTGAAAAATTATTATTGGGTTTTGCATAAATAAATTATCAAAATTTGATATACTAAATTTAACCAAATCAGGCCTCAAGCTTTGGGTTTACAGCAACATAAAGCCTAAGAAAGGCCCATCAGAGTCCCATTATAAACGATTGCTTTACGCCGTCGTCTATAACTTTATATCGGTAACGGTAAGCCAGATCATTCGGTTTAGATTTCCACAATAAGGAAGTTATGAGTCAAATATATATAAGTTTGAGAATGCAGGGTTACTTGAGTAAAAACAAAACTATTCAATTAAAACTCTATACATTTCATACATATATGGAAATTGTACCCAATCTTCAATTCCCGCTTGTTGTAACGTCTTCTTCTTCTTTTTCAATCTTTTTTCTCTCCCTTTCTTTGCATTCCGTGTACAGCAAGTATAGCAAACGTACGTAACAGTTAGGTTTAGCCAGCGTAGTGTAGTGAAACAATTGGATCCCATCTCTTCTTTCTTTCTTTCTTTCTTTCTTTCTTTGGTATGTTCTGTTCTGAGCAGGGATCCTAGGTTATTGTGGAATTGATCGGGTTTAGAAGAATTGAAACTAAACTTCCTTACAGTTTGAGTCAGATTAATGGATTCTACTAATACTTGGCTTATGTAGTAGCGTTTATCTTGTTTTTGGTTTCCGTTTTGTGGGTGGGTGTGTTAGAATTTAGAAACAACAACCCTCTGTAAATCAAGATTCATGGTTTCTGACTTTTTCTCTATCCGCAGGAGAACAAGCAAAAATGTAAACCCAAAGTAAGTGAATCCATAAGACTGAGAAAAACTGATAAAAATACCTTATACTGATTGTAGTCGAAACATGGTTCCTTGTTTGAACAGGAACTGTTAGCGGTATCTCGAGCAAATGTGCAGCTTCTTTCTTACATTTTCGAGATCATACCAGTTGGTATATTGTCGCAAATAATGGCAACAACTCCTAAATCTGGCATCAAGGTTGAGGAGGTATGCGAAGCAGTATATGCACGCTGGCGTGTATCACAGGTAATGGCATGGACCTTACTACCTTTCATTCGTTTTCAATTATATGTAAGGTTTATGCCAACTTAAAAGGAAAGACTTTCTCCTCACTATTTCAGCGTGTCCCGAATAGCCTATTAGCTACGGATTGGGAGGAAAAAATGTGTCACATGAGAGATCAAGGACCCTGCGGTAAAAGCTCTTTTCAAGTTTACACGTACATATTTGCTTAAGGAAAACTTCATGATCACTTTTTCACCTCGCAGAGACATGCTGGGCAGTAGTGGCATCGGAGCTTATTAGTGCCTTGCTCTTTATTGAGGGCATAGACAAGGAATACACAGAGTACTCAATCCAAGAACTAGTTGACTTTGCTAATCCGTCTAAAGCAACAAAGAGGCGCTCAGGCCACCATTGTTACACTCTAAGCATAGGGAAAGGTTTAGACTATGTACTCAAACATGGACTTCAAAAGGCAATCCATAGGAAATATGTAAGGTGTAGACAAAAGTCTGAGATACCAGCACGTTCTACAGTTGATCTAGCACACATAGATCGGGTGGATAGGTTATCATTGGATGAAGCACTTATCAGACTTGAGAAACAACCCATTGGAGCATCCCTCTACATATTCATGCCTGATTACAAGTTAACTAAAGGGGTATGTATACATATCTGTATTTATTGAAGTTGGTACTATTAAACTCTATGTGATTCTGAAAACATACTGATGAAACAGGGCGTTTATCGTGGCCCCATGGACAAGGAATCTAAACTAAAAGGAGTTCATGCTGTTTCCATACTTGGTGTGGTAGAAGACAAAGGAGAAATGTGTTTCAAGGTGAAATCAACCCACGGTAATAGGGTAGGAGTGGATGGGTACCTCAAAGTTTCGATGGAGACTATGTTGGGTTCAAATTCCTAGAGAGGGTATGCTTCCTGATGGTAAATTTGAGAAACCGACGCCTTTGATCCATAGCTTCTGCTGTCCAACAATTCTTCCTAAAGCTAAAGAAGAGTCTAGCTCAACGCAATGCAATGCAACCAAGGTCGGTAAGTGTTTTTTCTTCTTTCTGTTACTTTTTTTCCTTTATAAGTTTAGATGAAGGATGTTGGTGTATGGTGTTGTTTGAAATTCTAACGCATTTTCATCCTTCAAAATTCAGGGGAATGACGCCAAGTAAATATGGTGAGATACTACCTAATGGCTGGAGAGTTTGAGAGAGACAAGAAAGGAAACAAAATTTGTCTTTTGTATAGTTTAAAGTTTAAACTAGACCTAGGTATCCGGTTTTCAACCAAACCTTTATTGGTTAAAAGAAGTTGTGTAGGTCAAACAAAAAAAAAGAACCCAATTTCCCATCCTCAACATTGAACTAAAAACTACTCTGTGATAGTTCTGAATTTCTGATTAAGCCAAACAAATGTACCGCTCATTCCTAGATTTACTTACCCTTGTAATTGTACTCTTCCCGCGCATTTTTGAGACAATATCGTTTTAGTTTTCTCGGCTACGGTTCGGTTTGAGTCAGAGAGGGAACACAAAATGGAGGAGTGGATCCCCCTGTTCGACATTTTCTTGAATAGTTCCATCCCGGAAACCGAGGCTTCGCTGTGGCTAGACCAGGCTTCTAACTCTTCTTCTTCCTCTGCCGCGGCGCCGATCAACCGGAGCTCTTTTGTTTCGCTGCTCAAGACACAGTGCGATCAGAATTCATCTCCGGCGACGAACAAGTAAAGACCTGACTTTCCATTTGCTTTTTCTCTATGTTTTGGACTGATTTGTGTAGCTGATAAAATTGTTTATTTTCTTTTCGTCAGGCTTCTTTTCATTGAGACATTACCTAACATTGTTCAGTCAAAGATTCTATCTTTCCTTCTTCTCGAGTATCAGAGGTTTCGCGTTAGTGATTTGTTTTGGCTGGCTAGAGAAATGTTGCGAGGTGGTAGTGGTAAAGTTGTTGATTTCTGGGTACAGAGAGATGCACAGAACCTGCTCGACAGAATTCCTAAACCAAAGTTTGATTGGGTATCTCATCTAGATTTGGATTCGGCTGATGACGATAGCTTTAGGGAGGAATTTGACTCTGTACCTGATTGGCTCAGTGAGAAGGCTGCTTCTACTGGTACAATTCTTCCATGGCTTCCTGTATCATTCGATGATGTTGATTCAGAAATGGTGGTTGTTGATTCTTGGAACGGAGAGGAGATAAGTCTCATCAAAGTGAATATGGAAGAAGATCACCGAGAAGTTGTGGATAACACTGATCATATCATGAATGTTGGGTTACAGGCTGATGATTATGAAATGGCGGCGAATCTTAGAGTTCAGATTACTAGCTCTGAGTCTACTTCTGAAGTTTTAACCTTGTGTGATGAAATTCGGAGACTTAGTTTGGGGAAGGGTAGGGACTCTTTCCGAGTTTTGGCTTTGATTGAACCTTGGAATGCAGATGATGAGACTGCTGCAGTTTTACTTTCGAATTTGCATAGTGGAAATGAGGTAGATGAGCTTGGTTGGCCAAGTCAGGTTCTATGTTCCATCGTGCTTCCCAAGTTTTTGTCTCTTGAGAAATCTGCCTCTCGTGTGTTGATGTTTGCAACAATCGAGTTTTGCAAGATCCACCAAAGAGCAGCTGAGTATGCGTTGGTGTTCCCGTTGATATTCAGGAAAAAAGGGTTAAACAACTTCGTTTGTGAGGTGATTTCAAGGGTTTTGAAAGAATGCTTGCACTTGGGTCATATTTCTGGTTTTTGCCAGAAGTTACTTTGTGGAAGAACAGAAGAGAGGAGGTTTATGTTCCTTCCCTGTCACCGAGATCTTATATCTGAAGAACTAACATGGAATGAATCTCTGTTTATCCTTTTCCAGAACATCTTGATCCATGGCGTCCCTTTAACTCAAGATTCCGTTGATTGTCTTGTTTCTAAGGTTCAGGAATTGGCTGAAAGGTATTCCAAATCTCTAAAATTTGGAAACTTTTTGCTACATTTTATTGCCAAGTGTGCTCCGATGCTACAGGCTCAGAAGTATCAGTTGATCGAATCCGTAAAGTGCACTAACAGTCTAGTTACAAAATCTATCTTATCGAAGCTCAACGCCCTGTAGTTCCTATAGTATAGTCTGTTCTGGTATATACTGTTCTTCTATGGTGAGTTGAGCATTCATATGGGAGCAGATTTAGGACTGAACAAAACATAATTTTTGATTAAGCGTTATGAAGGCTTATCTCAGTCAAAATTTTCGTTTTGTTGGAACAACATGGTGACAGGTATGAACAGAGTAAATGAAGATTATTCCGCTGATCAATTAGTAAAGCAGACATGCCTTGTAAGGGACACAAGATTACAAGACCTAAAGAAAAGGAGAATTTGATGGGTAATTCGTAGCAATTTATGTCTAGATAGTTCCTAGACTAACTCTACACTTCTCCATGGTTTGACATCTGGAGCATGTCTTGTCTCTGAATTCGGTGGTTAAAGAGCTCTGAAAATGGCTATTGACACTCTATGAGTCTAAAGAGGATTATTAACAAACATACTCAAGTTCAGTTCATTTTTCCTAAAACGAAAAAAGTGAGAAACGATATCATCAAACAGTCCCCTGCTGTGTACAGATATGGTGAGACCAGAAAAGTGAATCGTACCAAGATCACCGATAGACATGAGATTGCGATCTAGATCAGCCACGAATATGAGCTGTAATTTTTTTTTGTAGGAACACCTTATTTTGTCTTTTTCTTTGCTCATGTAAGTAGCACATCTTCAGTGTATTGTAATTATACCAAAGTGACCAACCCAAATGAGATTTCCTTCCACTATTTTTGTATGGGTCATTTTATAACGACAAGTGAATATAAGAATGTTATGCGATTAGTCAAAGCTACATAACAGGCTATTACAGATCCAATGGAAGAAATGGTGTCGAGCATAATTATAAGCCATTGCTAATCAATGGATGCCTAGGCGAAGTCTCTTAGATTGAAACTCAGGAATCAAGCCATTGCCTAAATTTGCATATCCCACGGCGAGTTTCTGTGAAAGAATCTCGGATTGACTGCAACATTGCGGATACTGCAGGAACGCTATATAGCTCTTGGTCTTGTTCCTGAATTAAGCATCAAATACAACATGTTCATATGTTTCTGCACTATATCCACAGGAAAGAAGATAGTGTAGAGAGTATAAATTGATTACACTTACCAACTTCGTGAGACGCTCTTCAAGACTTAACGAAACTGTTTCGGTAGACATGAATATCTTACGATAGGCTGCTCTTAAGCTCTTCACCTACCAATGCCATAAACAACCATGATTTTTTACTTTGAAACATTCCAAAGCGATATACAGTTTCTCATTTCAAAAGACTCGACTCTGGGACACATTACAAACCTCTGACATGGTAAATCCGTTTCGTTTTAGTCCCTCCAGATTCAAACCGCGAAGCTCGGCTCTCTCTCCAGTCACCATCATGTACTTTGGAACATCTTGTGAAACCTATATGTAACCGTACCAGTGAGTAACTGTTACAAAGGTGGGCTTTTGAGAGGTATCAGAGGAAAACATACCACAGATCCACCACCAATGAAAGCAAAGGAGCCAATATGACAGAACTGGTGGATGACCGTAGCTCCTGCTGTGTGTGTATAGTCCTAAATTCACAACGTAAACCAAATGAAACGATGCCGCTGAATCCAGGTTTAGATTATAGACAAAAGGAAGGTCTTACTTCTACTGTCACATGGCCAGCAAGAAGGGTATTGTTGGCAAATATGTTGCGGTCACCAATCTTGCAATCATGGGCAATATGACAAGAACCCATGATTAGATTGTTGTCACCAATAACCTGTTCAATTAATAACCATAACTTAGAGCATGATAAAACCTCTTGGAACTTCAATGATATAAGTCGATGGCCAGTTGCATACCGTTTTATCACTGGGCTTTGATGACCTGTGAATTGAGCAGAACTCCCTAATTTCATTGTTGTTACCGATGCAAAGAAAACATTCATCCCCATTCTAAAAGAAGAAAACAAGGTATGAAATCTTGATGGATATTGGTTTCTAGTCTCCAACTAGGATGAGATTAAGACGATAGCAATTGAAAAAGGGAATATGATGTAGTCTCTCTCTCACACACACACCTTGTACTTCAAGTCTTGACATTTAACCCCAACCACGGCGTGGTGACCAATGATGTTATTGCATCCTAAGACTGTATATCCAGGTAGCTCATCACCAACAACAGCACCACTGGCTGACAAAAATTCCAGGCAGACACATAGCAAACAGCAACTGATATAAAAACAATAGAGAAAAACACTATATTACAGAATTGAAAGGGATTTTACGTCATGAGAACACAAGATTCCCCCAACTCAGTGTTTCCAAAGATATGGCTAGAAGGATAGAGTATGCAGCCATTGCCTAGCTTCACTGAAGAGCCAATTGTACAGTATGGACCAACTGAAACTCCCTGTTAGAAAAAAGGAAACAACATTTGTCTGGTTAACCAATGTCAAGAAAAACAACATTTTATGTTAGTCAAGGAAGCTCTAATAATCACTAAGCTCAAATCTCAAACAAAGCATCTCACTTTGACCAGATTTCATCAAATTCAACTTGTTTCCAAAAGCTAAAAAAAAGAAGAATAATACTTTTCGAGCGTTAAGCTATTCCAGTCTTCTAGATGATCAGAGAAGAAGCTTAAACCCAAACTAGTTTAGAGCAAAATCCAAATTCACCAAAGTGGAAGGTTTTTAATAAACGACTCAGAGACCCAAAGCAATGTCTAACAAGACGAAGCAAACCTTGCCAATCACAGCACTTGGGTGAACATCAGCACTTGGGTGTATCAAGACTTCAGAATCTCTCGAATCTTCACGAGAATCTGCTCCAAACCAGACAATGACTCACAGCTTAGAGTAGCGATATATAATTTCTGGTAATCATGGCCACATAAAGTACAAGCGGGAAAAGAGAGAGAGAGAGAGAAAGAGATATACAGGAGAGACTAGAAGAGAGTCTGCGGATGGTGGAACTGAAGAGAGGAGATAGAAGCTTCTCCCGAGCTTTAAGGAGAGATATCATGGCGGGCTACGTAGAGCAAAACCAAACAGCCTCTTCCGATTCATACATGGTGTTCGACGAAATGCCTCAATGAAAGATAACCATTATGAAATCACGCACGTGCCCAAGGATTTTGCACGTGGCTGAGCTTTTTATTAGTTTTTGGACCTTTGGTAAAGCTATCTTATGTAGAACTTGGGTGACTAGTTGAAAATTTTCAAACAGTTGCTTTCGTTTTGAAATATAAAATCGAATAAGCTTAAATACAATCCATTATTTTCCTGGTAGCTTGAGTTTAAGAGATGGCAGTGATTAATATTCATCACCATGAGACTAAACAATTCCTACATCAATCAAGTGAAGAGGAACATATACATGTGTTTTCATCACACTTGCATCAATTATAAACACTTTTTGACTCACAAAGACTAGTTTTATGAATCTTCTTCTTGTGTTATTGTGCTGACAAGTTGCATAAGAATTCTCTGTTGTTCCTCTGCATTGCTCCATTCTTTGACCTCTGCTTTGATCAGTAAGGAATTGTCTGAAATCTTCTTCCATAGCGGATAATTCGTTCTCGGCATCACAAAATCGCATTCTCTCAGCTTCAATGTCGGACAAAAGTCACCTCCTCCATCTCCAAGGTAGATAAAAATTTGATCACTGGGACAAGAAGCACGTATATGATCCATCACTAGACCCTGAAGACCATGAACATTGACTAGTCAAAATCTTAAAAAAACTGGATCATGTAATAACCATCTATTTCAAGGTTTTCTTAAAAGCTTAACAAAGTACAAGTCTTTCCATACCAGGACAAATAACTTTAGAATCGAAATTTTGAGCTTATGAACTGAAACTAATCTCAAATCCCAATGGACAATTCAAACTTCAGAACAAAAACTAGCAATTCTATTTAGGCAGACATGGATGCTTATATTGTTTACAAAGATATAGTACCTTGCATAAATTAGAAGGGCAGAAATTACAGCTATGTGGAGGCAATGCATCACTATGGTATGGCAAGATCCTCAACTTTCCAATTTCATCAACAGAACTTTGATTTGTGTAAATCTCAGAAAAGCAATCCAACAAATCATGCTGCTCCAATATCTTCTCAATGAAAAAATGATTTGCATCACTCACAATCTTTAAATCACATCTGCATTTGAAACAAACAACATTCAACAAAAGTAACATAAGAAGCTGAGAGACCATCTAAGTGAAACTAATCATTGTTCATACCCTAAAGATTTGGCTGATTTGATAGCTTCAATAATCTGAGAATCAATTGGCATTTTCTTCAAACAAGCTTCAATATCTTCAATCGATCTACCTTGTGAATGTAGCTCCATCATCATCCTATCCTTTCCAATATCCAATTTAAAAACAAAATTTCAAAAAAAAATCTAAATTTCTCACATCATAAGAAGAGTATGCTTTAATAAATGAAATACCATAAGACGATTCCAAGGTAAAGTGAAACGGAGCTGATGGAAGATCTCAGTGAGTCCCATTTCGGTGACAACCCAGTTATCACTATCTCCGTCGATCAAAGTCCGATCGAAGTCAAATATAATCACGATCTTTGCCATTTCTGTAGATCTAACGCAACGCCGGGAGCTCAGCTTCTCGCCGTCGCTCGCTGCAAATCACTTCTCCTCTTTCCTAATTGGTCCGACGATGACAAATCCAATTCTCCGACGACGCCATGAAAACAATACATTTGAGTCATCCAATCATATTTAAACAATGGGCCTTATTGGCTTATCTTACGTCAAGCCCATTATGTGGTCTAAGGCTTAAGTGGACTCAGGTTCGTGTCAGCATTCCAATAACCAATGAGATTGCAGGAAACACGTTAACAAGCGTAATATCAAAAAAGTGAAAAACAATATTTCTCGGCAAAGATAAATCTTAAAACCCACGATCTTATTATATAAACAACCAGTGATATACAATTTTGATTAAAGTCCCAAACTTTCCCAAGTTTGAAAGAGAAAGAGAGAGCTACTGAGTTCAATGGTTGGGATGAATCGGGTTCTGATAGCTTTAACGTTAGCTCTGCTAGTTTGTTCGGCGTTATTACCTGTTTCCGATGGCGCGAAGAAGAAACCGTCGTCTACGCCGAGAAAGGAGGATGTTCCGTATATAAAGTGTCAGGTTTGCGAGAAACTAGCTTCGCGGTTACATCAGCAAGTGAAGGAGAAGCAACAACAGATCTCTCCCAAAAAGGTTTGATCTTTGTTTTTTTTAGAAATGTAAATCAGTGATCTTTCTTCTTTGATTTGATGTGTTTCCTGGTTACTGAAATATTTTTGGTGGGCAGATCTCGGAGTATGAGATCATTGAGATTGCTGAAAATATCTGCAATTTGAAGAAAGAGGAAGCTGATTGGATGCTTAAGATTGACATTGTTGAGAAAGGCGATAAGCTTGTGGTAATTGAGTTTTCTATATCTCTCTCTCGCTCACTTAGTTGATCCAAAGTAGCTTAGAGACTAAGTGGAAACTTGTACATTTGTTGTTGAATCTCCAATGCTGCTTATCTACGGATTCTGTTAAGAGTTTGATTGTTTTCGAATTGGTTTCTTAGTTGGTTGAGCAAGCAGAAGAAGGGATGTGCAATTCCAAGTGCAAGACGATTGAGGCTGCTTGTCAAAAGGTGAGTACATTGTGGTATGTGCATTCTCGGAGTATTAAGTGTTAGGGAATGTGATTTTTACTCTGTTTGTGTATTTTCCAGGTCATTGGTTACGCAGACACTGATGTTGCAGAGTATATTTATACGTCTAAGCCTGATCTTGTTTCATTGGTAAATTATCTATGCAAAGACTTGACTGATGCTTGTAGCAAGAAACCACCTCCTGTTCCCAAGGTACCTATATGACTGAAATGTGGATCTGTGAATGTTCTTATGTTGTTGCTATGGAGATGATATTTTGTTGACAAGATAGATTCTTTATCTTTGTCTAGGATCGGGTTCCTGGAGAACCATTTGTGGCAAAACCATCAAAAGATGCCGAAATGGACAAGATCTTGAGATCTATGCAGGTGATCTTTGATGACTTCACTCAATTTCGTTCCCATACAATGAAACAAAACATAAATGATCTTAACTCTGAAGCTAACTCGGATATACCGCTATTTTGTTTTGTCAGGGTATGCCCGGAGCACCTGGCATGAAGGTCTTCTCTAGAGAAGATATAGAGAAGGGGAATATTGGTAATGACGATGAAGATGGCGACGATGATGAAGATGAGGACGAAGATGATAAGTTCCCCAAGAATTTGGTACATTCTAAGTTTCTTTTTTTTCCAGATCGTTCCTTTATACTTTCATGAAGAAGAAGAACCAAGATATTTCACTCTTTTTCTCCAAATCACTTTTATTGTGCTGTTGGTTTTCAGGGAAAGGTTTTGAAAGAGAAAGAGAGTAAAACGGAAGAATTGAAAAAGACTATCACTAGGGAATTCAAGAAGAAAGGTGAGGTTCTGAAGAGACATGCACAGAAAGTGTCAAACCGGGTCCGTAGATGGTGGAAAGGACTTAGATCGTCTTCTACAAAGAAGACGAAATCTGGAAAGTCTGAGCTATAGATAACGATTTTAAAACTGGTTTTTGTCATAATGTAATCTTTTTTCAGGTTGACTTTTTGTAGATTTGCTTTTAGTTTCTATAATCTTATGGAGAGAAGGTTGCAAGTGTTTGAGAAACATCGGTTCTATAACACAAGAGTTGGTTAAGAGCAAATTCATTAATTTAACTTCAAAGTAAAAATAAAAACAGAAACAAATGTTGCAATGTGAAGCAAATAGAATGTTGTAAAACTTGAAGAAGAAAAAAGACAATTAAATCACAATCTGAGAATTGTATCTTCTCAGTTTCAGCAGTAGATTTGAAGTACTGCTTCTTTAGGAAAACCTTTAGCGCATTTTGTAGTGTTGGGTCCTAGAGATCTTGCTATGCTGGCCATTCAAAGAATAGCTTAGCTTTATGTCAATGTCTCGAGGATTCTTCTTGTTAGGAGAAACGGACATGGTTCCAGTGATTGTCTCACCCTCACATATGGTTAACACATCTTCTAGGTACAGAACAGTTTGTTTCCAGTGTGTAGCTCGGGATTTTGGTCCTGCATTACCCATGGTTGTTCAGTGAAAGTTTAAGACAACAATGAAACAATCTGTGTCTATGTTTGAACAAGTGATTCAAAAAAACCTAAAAGAATATGCAGGACTAGCAGGAAATTGCAGAGATCTGAACCTGTTGAGAAGCCCTGCAGCTTGTGGCACATTGTAAACGATACATCAAAGTAGGCTACAAGGGCGTGGATATAGTCATTTCGTTGTGCAACAAGTTTAAAAGGAGCCGTGAAGGAAGCATCACCAGAAGACATCTTTGAGATATCCATAGTCTGTTACAATCCCACAAAATAAATTAAATGAGCATTGGCCACAGGTACAGAGATACTACTAATCATTTACATGTGTATATATGATAAATCCTACCTTAAGAAGCCTACTATCGGTGACGATTTGGTTTTGGTCAACTGTGTCAACAAGTGGTTCCATCATAGCTTTTTTCTTGATGCATGACATGTCAAAACCATACACACTGTTCCAAACTGTAAAAGAACAACACACCAGAAATTAAAATATGCAACTCTCAACAGATATTAAAGACGAATGTTGGGAAAATAAAAAGAGAAAAGATATCAATGCACTCACATTCTATTTTGTCTTCTTTGTACTCGGAATCCTCTATGGCTGTAAGATGCAGGGAGGCTTTGTCTGGTAGCACAACTCCACCATCAACCTATCCATAAAAACAAAGGACCAAGAAGCTTTCATGGTTAATTCAACAATGACATGAATTTGCAATAAGTAATTGTTGACAATTGCGTTTGGTAAGTAAGAATATCGTGTAAGAAGGTGGAGCTATAAACTTACAAGCCATTTATTACGAGCGTATAAGACACTGTCCAACATGTTTTCAAACAACAAAAAATAACCCATCCATTCAGATATAATCACATCCACTTTAGGAACGGGAAGCTCTATCTCTTCAATCTTCCCTTTCAAAACTGTAATAACTGTAAGGATGATACAAACAAATATCGTCAAGCAGCTGCATAACCGATGTTATTCATTTTAAAAAACAACTGAGCATACAAGAAAATTACCATCAGAGAATCCATTTGCTTTGACAATCTCCTTTGCCATGTCAGCCATTTGAGAACATTCAACCTATGAAGGAACATCCTCAATCAAATCATTCAAATTGAAAGAGTTTTTCACTTACGAAAATAAAGAATGAAAAAGAAATGAAGACATACAGCGTAGACATGAGCTGCTCCTGCCTTGGCACAGAACAGAGACAAGATTCCTGTTCCAGCTCCAACATCAAGAACAATTTTGTCCTTGATGAGAAACTTGTTTTGGTAAATAACATTCTGATAAGTCTTTGTTCTCACTACATCTTTTAACATTTCCTGTAAGATACAATCCTCGAATCAGTCATCAGAGAGATACAAAAAAAAAAACACATTAAAAAATATTGATATACAGAACCAAAACAAACTCAGCTGAGCTTTGTCCTCAATACTTACTTCATGAATTCCTGCAAAACAGATAAAAGTGGAACCAAAGTCAAATCTTTGAGCAAACTCATAATCAAAGATCACTAATTATTCTCCTGTCTAATACAAGAAAAATTGTAACTTTAGAAAAGTGAAAACAAAGAGAATTAAATTACCGAAGTGGGAGTAAGAATCAAAGTAGTAATCGGCGCTGGTGGTATCGTCAGTGACTTCAGAAGCATCAGCGTCGCACATGGATTCATCTTGGGCAGCTTCCTCGCCGGCGACACCGGACCCTTCTGCAACTTCGTCTTCATCAGCATCTTCAAAGCGTATCTTTGTGTTCTGATTCGACTCAAAGCTGATGAACTCGTTCTCGTTGTGGTTACTGTTCTTCGTCATCGTTCTTCTCAGTCTCACACAAAAAGGGAATGGGGGAGAGAAGGGTTTTGGGGATAGAGACGAAGTGCTAGATTAGGGTTTTAGGACGACACAAGCTTTTATTTGAAGTCTTTACTTTTGTTTTTGTATTTGTTTCTCTTTCTCCCTCTGGTTAACTAATTTTTTATTGAATTATATTGTTCTGGTTCTGGAGATATTTATTGTACCGGTTCGATTTTCGTCGATATGCACCAAACCGGTTTGATATTATCAGTCAAAGTTGACTTATTCATTCAATCGAATTGATGATATCTGACCATACAAGACTACAAGTAATGTGATGGTGAGGGAAATGAGAAAAGACCCGACACACTCTAAAACGAAATAGATTAAAACACCATCTAGATTAGTTAGACATAGCTAATACTGTAGTTTTTTATTCCCATTAATTAAGGTTGCATTATTGAGTTTCTTATAGAGTTTTTTGGTTTCAGGTAGGATAAGAGAGTAATTATGATCACTTGGTCGAATTGTTTTCTGTAGTAACCAGTGGCCAAGGCCCTCCAGCCATCACAGCTTCGATCTCCCATGTTTCCCGTGGAACATTCGTCATGTTCTTGCAGCCATTCGCAGTCACGACCTATGCAGAAAGTCACACAGATACACAAAAATGAGATTATTGTATATGACATTACTCTCTCGAGTCTTTTAAAGGTTATATAGTGAATAAGTCGTTACCAAATCGCTTTCAATTCTAACACCTCCGAAATTCCTGAATCTCTCTATTGTTTCACGGTTGAAGAACTTAGAGGTTGTTGTCTTTTCCATGGCTGGAATTAGCAATGCCTTAATAAAATAGCATCCAGGTTCCACCGTTATAACCTGCATACATACCATTGGGACAACGATAGAGACAGATACATGAGAAGAACCAAAATTAGTTATACTAAGAAACAATCAGCCTTACCATTCCTTCAAGAAGGTCTCTTGCAGTGCGCAAAGACTTCAATCCAGGTTCCTTTGGTCTTTCCACTCCCTTAAAGAGAACTCAAAACAACGACTAAGAAACAAGGACTGTAGTTTACGTACAATATGATACTATTTGGTGAAAAAGTGATTTGATGTACCTTTGGGTAACCACCAGTATCGTGTGTGTCAATGCCCATGAAGTGACCTAGTCCATGAGGCATGAAAATAGCACCCAAGCGTTGTACCATCATGTCGTCCACATCCCTAGAAACAAAAGTGAAACCGTAACAATGAAATCAAGCTTTCAAGAAGAGAAAACAAGTATCTTATACATATGTCAAAAAGAGAGAGTTACCCAGTGAGGATGGACCCTTTCTTCAGTGACTCAAGGATGATTCTTTCGGCTAACCTGTGCATTGACTTGCTTCAGTTGGCAATGAAAGCTAAATAATCATATGGAGATGTACTTTCAAATAAACATATGGAGATGTCGTTCATAGGCAATCCCAATAACCACATCTGCATGCATGCTTCAACAGAATTAGATAGCATCGCAGTCAGTCTTACTTATGCATATCCACCCAGTTAACTCCAGGCTTCATCGCAGAGATTACAGAATTATGAGCCTCCAGAACAGCCTGAAAGAAAGGCAGATCAGAGAAACCTAATTAGATATACAGCTTCTACAGACTCACCAAAAGTCTGGATTGTGAGGAATTAGTTGACAAAAATAAAGCACCCACTCCACGTTCCACCAATCTTGTATAGCACTTACATTGTAGATTAGACTCTGGTCACTTGTAAATTTACCATTAACCTGCACAGCGTATAATAAATATCAGACAAAATTTGCTCTAAATTACTCATTATGATGTTCATGTAAACATGATTAAAAACAAGTTAACAGGCTGTGAATACAATATAGTATCATTTTTAAGGATTCTGAATAAGTAACAGAACATAAAATGGAAACTGATGGTTTCACGCTAGATACAGAACTCACCGGGAATGAGCATGTTATGTCAGACCCATAAAAATGGTATTCGGCACCCATATCAAGCAATGCCAAATCTCCATCTTCAAAAGTCTGCATGAAGTAATAGAACATTTTCAAACAGGGAATATTGAGAAAATGAAAAAGGCAAGGATTGTTTGCTCATTTACCCTATCATTTGGAGCCGCAGCATGCCCATAATGAAGAACAGCACTGCAAACAAACAACTCATCTATTGTGTTAGTCTTTACGTAAAAAGACAAGAAAATCCGAGAATGATTATACCACAATTTTCCGCAATAACAAGATTTTTTCCACCAAAACTTACCTGTTATCCCCTGTTGCACAAATGCATGTGTACGAGCAGTGCCTACAGCCACCATACATGTAGCTGTGATGCAGAAACATACTTTCCATCTGATATTCTTTCATGCCAGGTGCGACTCTCCTCATAACCTGATGAGGGTAAACAACATGCTTAAAAGTTGGAAACATGTAAGACAATGAAAGGAAGAGACAACGTCAACATGGAGTAAATAAAGAAGAGTCCAGGTCGGAAACCTAAGTAGTGAAATGATATAAAAAAGACAATTTCTGAACATGAAAACAGATAGCAACATGTCAACATCATGTCATTCAGTGGTAGAAGCATACCACTTATAAAGAAGAACAATAAATTAAAGAGAAAAGTTCACGAAATCATATCAGACCTCTATATGAGCTTCAGAACTTATATCATTTGCAAACTGTATTAGTTGAAGCTCCAAACTTGATTTAATAACTCGACATTCCGCCAAAATAGGATGTAAGGTAGTCAAATCAGTCTCAAACTTTTCTATCCCCTGAAATAAGCAACACAATAGCAAAAAGTAAAAATGAGATTCCAATATTTCGGGGAAACACTTTTAGCATCAGAATCCAGAATTCTCAATCACAAGACCTGCCAAAAGCTATTTATTTTCAGGATCAAGACAAGAAAATGGCAAGACCAAATCTCCATAACAAGTGAAGAAGAAAGGATGAAATGTAAAACCTCAAAGCTGGCAGGTTTTGAGAAGTTACTGCTGTCAGTGTTTAGACCATGCAGGAGATACAACAGAGGATTTCCAGATCCCTTAAATTGTTCATTAAAAACTTGAATAATCTCATCCACATAGAAAACCATGTCAACCATATATGTTTCCTGCAATAGAAAAGCACAAAATCGCATCAATATGAGAGAAATCTATGCATTGAACAAGTTAACAAGACTATAAAGAAATTAAAATAGCTACCTTAAAGTGTGACAATGGCTTTATCTCTCCTAACCAAACAGCATAATCATCAGGCAATCTTGGAATAAAAAGGATAGATTTCCCACTTCCGATATCCTTTCAATATCAAAAGAAAATCATATCATCAATTGAGCAACATATGAAAAACAGTGAAATGGAGAAATAGATGAAAAAACTCACAATAGCTCCGTAGAAATCAGGCTCTCTGACTCCAAACAAATAAGCAAAGTAACTCTCCTGCCTACACGTCAATTCAATTCAACTAATCAAAATCATATATTTCCATTTAAACATTGAGCAGACTGAACTAGTACGATTTCAATCACCCTCAGATAATATTTCCAAATCAATACCTGAAAAGCTCGGCGTGATCAGTGCAGTATCGATTTTTCTCTTCACCACCCTATCGTTCCAAAGTCAATAGAACCACGAAATTATAAACTAAGACGATGAAAGCTAGCTCGGATCATCGATACGGATCATATCCATATTTGAGCTACCAAGAGTACCTGAAGTAAAACGAATCCATCGAGAGAACGATTGGAACTAGATAAGTGACGGCGTATTGAATCAACGAGCTTTTTCCGGTTACCGGCGTGGAGCTCCATAGGAATCGGCGGTGGAGTCAGAGACGACATGACGATTGGGATTAGTTTTTTGTTTTTCCCGGCGAGAGGCACTGGCACAGATTTGGTTGTGCTAAGTATCACCAAACGTTGTCGTTTCGAACTTGAGGGAAACAAAATACTTGACGACGACGTTTCAGAGATAGGGAGAAACGATGTCGTTTAACGGAAAGAAGAAAAATGACATATTACGCAGTTGTTGAATCAGTGGTCCGAAATCTCGAATCGAACTCATCTCTCTCAGCTTCACCGGTGCTGCATTATCAATTTGCAGAAAGGTACGGCGAGGCTCTGGTCTCTGACCGATCTTTCTCGCACTTTTCTCATTTTTTCAGATTCTCAATTGGGTTTTACAAATTTTGTTTATTGTTTTTTAGGGCTTTGTTCCTGCTTCTCTTGTCTAGTATATGCTTTGTGGTTGACTTTTAGATCTATGTCTGTGATCTTTTCTTGCTTCGATGGCGATTTTTCGTTTTAGGAGTCACAAATTTGGCGTTTAGATGTGCTTGGTTGTTTTACTCTGAAGCTCGCTCGATCTATCGTTTTGGAATTGAGGATTTGGGGTTTTTTAGGCTTTTAGCTTGATTTGTGTGAATTCACTCAAAAGTCTCCTGCTTGCTCTAGTAGGGAAATTTACGGATTTTCAAATTTCAAAGTTTTGATTAATTTGGATTTTATGAATCAAAGTTACCTGCTTTGAGAATCTCAGCTGTATTTTAGAGCTGTTTCTCCTCTTGATTTTTAGTTTCTGGCACTGGATTGGTAACACTGAAGTTAGCTAGATGTAATGTTCTCTTTTTGTATTTGAAGGATTTGGTTGTGAAGATGGCATCAAAGCTGATACAAGTTCAATCAAAGGCTTGTGAGGCTTCAAAGTTTGTGGCTAAGCATGGAACTTCCTACTACAGACAGTTGCTGGAGAAGAACAAGCAGTTTATCCAGGAACCTGCCACTGTGGAGAAGTGTCAAGAGTTATCTAAGCAACTGCTGTACACCCGTCTTGCTAGGTCAATATCTCTCTTCCCCCTCTATCTCTCAACATTTTCCCTGTCACAGATTTACACAATCATTTCTGATATTCTGGTTATCAAGAGACTTTTGGCAATAATTCATCTTTTCTCATTTTCTACTCTAAGGCGTAAAATAGCCAGTGAAATGCTGAAGCTGGGATATTATGAATCCTCTGATGTTTCCTCTTATATCTGTGGCCCCATAATTGAAACTGGAAAAAAAAAATTACATGTGGTTTATGCTATCTTTGCATTGAGCTGTTGGTCTTGCTTAGTCCTTTGTCATAAGTTGCAGGACTGTGTTTTAAAGTAGCAAAGCTTAAGTTGGTTTGACTATTAAATCTCTTAGTATTCCTCTATCTGCAACAATCGTTCTTGTCTACTAAATCTCAAATATGCAATAACCCTACTAGATAATCTTTGTATGGTCCAATCTTTCTTCAGGGTACAAAATAGTCCTCAGTATATATCCTCTTGCTTGATTTGGTAGTGTCTTTTGTTGTTTTTTAGGCTTGAAAAGTAGATTCATTAGCGAGAACCTGTTCCATCACCACATTTCATCTGACCATGAATCAAAAAAAATTTGGGCCTCTGCATTTTGTAATCTCGATTTTGCTATTGTGTGGGACTTGACTCAAGTATCGAGTATCTAACGCTTTCCCACTCCTTATTACAGCATTCCCGGACGCTATGAAACTTTCTGGAAGGAAGTAGACTACGCAAAGAACTTATGGAAGAACAGATCAGGTCTGAAGGTAGAAGATGCAGGAATCGCTGCATTGTTTGGCCTTGAATGCTTTGCTTGGTATTGCGCTGGTGAAATTGCCGGCAGAGGATTCACCTTCACAGGCTATTACCCTTGAAGGAGAGAAACAATAACTTGAAGATTGTGTAATCGCCTCCGTTTTAGTTTTCATGATTCTCTCCGAATCGATTTTTTTTTTTTTTTTCCAGTTTTTCCCTAAAACGGAGGCTTTCTGAGCTGAGAAAATCCATTTTGCTATAACTCTTTGATAAGATTACTCTCAATAAGAACAAAAATTCCGAGGAAAATTTCTCACTTAATGTTTTGGCCTTGTTTTATATTAATATCGACATAGAAAAGATGAACCATATTTATTTGCAATCTATGCTGTATTTTCCATTAAAAATTATTAACCTTTGCTAATACTCTGATTGATCAATCGTGTTCGTTGGTTAAGGGATGACACAAATGATACTCTGTTTTTAACGTCCGAATTTTCATTTTTCTTTGATAAAGAACGTCCATAAAACATGAAGATTTGATTGGTAATTATTAAACCTGTTGGTACATAAGAGAGAAGTGGGACGATAAAGCAGGAGGACCAACAATGGGATCTTCCACTCCAAAGAGACCCAGTAATACCTTTTATGGTCAGAATTTGAAAAAAGCACTAGCCAAAATCAGAAACTTCAACTTTAGAGCCAAAGATAGAAAGATGATTCGCCGTGGTGCTTTGACACATGTAGCTTTAAGCTTAACGGCCTTCCTCCTCCTTGCCGCCGTTCGCAGCCAGGTTGATGGAATATATAATTCATGTTTGTTCGTTATGGTAGTTTCAAGACGATGATATTATCTTTGTTATCAGCTTTTTCTGATTGGTTAAATCAAAATGACAGGAGAAGTGCAGCAAAACCTGCATTGCACAGAGCTGCAGCGGTGAGATTGTCGTTTTTCTTATCCATATAAAGAGTATTACTACAGCAAAACCAGCTTATCTATCTCGGTCCATACGTATGATCAGGTCTCAGTATTCGCTATGGGAAGTATTGTGGGATAGGTTACTTTGGATGTCCTGGAGAGCCTCCTTGTGATGATCTTGATACTTGTTGTATGAACCATGACAATTGTGTTACTATAAAAGGTAAATCAATGAATGAATATCTTTAAAGAGGAACATTGATGTGAAATTACTATGTCTTAGCTACATTTCTATTAGATTTTTTATTTGGGTATGAGAATGTGCTGCTGCATATGTTATTTATTTTTATTTTTTTTGCAGGTATGACTTATGTTAACTGCCACAAGCAGTTCCAGCGATGCGTAAGCGAGCTAAAAAAGTCAGTCCAACAATCTAACAACCAAAAGGTTGGATTCTCCAAACAATGCTCTTATTCAACAGTGATACCAACCGTGTACAAAGGAATGGATCTCGGTATTTTCTTCAGTAAAATAGGTATCTTAATTAATCAAGCTCTGATCTATTCATATTGAACATGTGATTTATGACATTAAACAGTTTGTTACTATAAACACTATGAGATCACTTGTGGTAATGTTCAAACCATATGACTTTTGTTACATTGTCTGTAACATTTATGATTATAGTGTCTCCTAATGTTAAACTGCGATGAAGCTTGGAATAATCTCGCGCAGGTAATATCATTAAACCTAAGCCGCCAGCAAGGACTGCGACTGTCGTGGAGGTGGATCTCGCTAGGAGTAAAGCGGACACAAAGGATGGTCTTGGAACAAATCAAGGCCTTCAAACAAAACAAGGCTCCAAAGTCTCAGTTCCTATGAACCCTAAGCCTTCTTGATCATTAGCTTATAGAAGGTGACTAGCTTATAGCTCTTATCTCTCTCAACTTTTTTAATTCCTTAACAAAGATGCTTCGATCAATTCTACCAGGTTCATCAAATAGCAGTGGATGGATTGGTGATGTCCTGTCCATGCATGTATACTCTACATATTACTTTAGTTTCTATTTTACTCTAGATGTGAGATTTTTTTTAACAAATTTATATAATACTTGTGTTATTTAAGAATTGCAACAATTGGTGGTTTCATTATATTTGTGATTAAGTTATGATACATGTTTCATTGTTTTAATATTCCAACCGTTTCATCAATAATGATCTTCTAGTTTTACGTGTTCTATGCATTCTATATATGTGTTGTCAAAATCAGCGTACGAAAAATTGAACCATATGTATTTGTAACATCATGAGCCGTTGCGAATACTCTGATTGGTTAATAAAAACCATGAGCCGTTCTGTTCTACGTGGTAAATGATACTCTGTTTTTAACGTTCATTATAAAATAACTCTTTTTATGGATTAAAGGAGAACGTCCAAAAAAAATATGAAGATGTAAGTGGGTAATGATCATGAAACTGTTTCACTGTTTTTAGTCTTTGTGTATATTAAAGAAAGAGACAGATAGAGGAGGGACGAGAAAGCAGGAGCACCAAGAGATCTTCCATTACAAAGAGACCCAACAATAGTTTGGGACAGAAGAATATGAAAGAACACAATCCAAAACCCATAAACTTCAACCGGACAGCGAGTAACAGAAAGATGGTCGGCGGCGGTGCTTTGACACGTGTTGCTTTCGGCTTAATCTCCTTCCTCCTCCTCGCCGTGGTTCACAGCCAGGTTAATAACAAATATATATACTTACTATTCTTGGTTTGTGTTTGTGTGTTCTTGCTAGCTCTTTTTTCTGATGGGTTGAATCAAAATCATAGGAGAATTGCAGCAAAACGTGCATTGCACAGAACTGCTACAGTAAGATGATTTGACTGCATTTTTTTGAATTTGGAGAACAACTAAGTTAGTGTATCTATCTGTTTTTTTAACCACATCTCTGTTTCAGGTCTAGGTGTTCGTTATGGGAAGTATTGTGGAATAGGTTACTCTGGATGTCCTGGAGAGAAACCTTGTGATGATCTTGATGCTTGTTGTATGACACATGACAACTGTGTTGATCTAAAAGGTAATTAAAAACCATTCTTGAGTATGTATACAACATGATTTCATTTGAGTATATATGATAATCTCTCTTTGTAAGAAAAACTTTTCAATTATGGATTTTTTTTTCAGGTATGACTTACGTTAAATGTCACAAGCAGTTCAAACGTTGCGTAAACAAGCTAAGCAGATCAATCAAACAATCTAAGGTTCAAAAGGTTGGATTCTCCGAAGAATGCCCTTATTCGACAGTGATACCAACCGTGTACAATGGAATGGATTACGGCATTTTCTTCAGTGGCATAGGTAATCTATACTGAGCTCTGATTTATACATATTGAACCTGTGGTTATGTGAGATTACTATGAGAATATAAGCTAGCCTTAGTGTTAAAAACCCTCAACCCTCATGACTTTATTACATTGTGACATTTTTCTGATTAGAGTACTTAATTACTGTGTTCTTATGATAAGATGTGAATAATCTATGTGCAGGTAATATCCTTAAACCTCCGGTGCTAGGAAGTGCACCTGTAGTGGAGGTGGATCTCGCTGGGAGTAAAGTGGACACAAAGGATGGCCTTGGTACAAATCAAAGCTTTCAAACAAAAGAAGGCTCCAAAGTCTATGCTTCTTTAAATATGAAACCTTCTACTTCTTAATCATCTTCTAAAATGACTTCATCAACTCCCTATCTATCAACTCTGTAAATCTGCAACTTCGTGTTTATAGAAAAGTCATAATAAAAAGACTTCGTATTCTTTCACTGATCAAAAAAACAATTTGCAATCTATGAACTAAGTCTATGTATTTTTGTTAATCACAGCACCAATAACTTCACTAAAGTCAAAACGTGACCTTGTCCCTTCCGTTTACTATATTAGAACATTCACCATTGTTAATCTATAATTTACTATATTAATTATAATAATAAAAAAACAGATGTAGAGAACTTAAGAGAGGAACATGTTGTTCAGTGGTAACTCCATCTTATAAAATCCAGGTTGTCTTCATCTCCTTAGTGGGGGGATGTATATAGTAACTGAGCCAATGATGAAGAAAAGTCGACAAAAACCTGGCTTATAGCATAAAGGAGTTGACTTTGTACTTTTGTTGTTTATGTAATCTTAATCGCACGTAGTCTGTTTTTTTTCTTTCTCTTAACGATGGTAGGCTGAAGAACTTCTAAAAACAAAAATACCAAAAAGAGAAGAAAATGAGGGCTAATCACTTTCTCCTTTTCTGCATTTTCGTTACCATCACCATTGTAGTTCATGCCCAAGGCCAATCAGGTTTTCCTTTTCTCCTGTCTGTCTTCCTTTGATATTGAACGATGCTCAAAGTGAAGAAAGCTTGAGTTTTTGATGAAATAATTTTTTTGGTACATAACTCAATATAAAGGATCATCTACACATGTCCTGGAATTTTAGTCAAATTTGAAAATGAACAATGTTCTTGAAGATGCTTGAAATAGTGATCTACACTTTTTTCTGTGTAAGAAATGAAGTTAGGCAGAAGTTGGTTTTATTAAAAACAATTTAGCTTGTATTGTAAATTTGTAAGTAATCTCCCTTTCTTCCTATCTGATCCTCAGGTTACATCAGCATCGATTGTGGCATACCTCCTTACGATACCCCTGAAGACATTGTGACTAAAATCAAATACGTCTCCGATGATCCTTTCATAACTACTGGCGTAAACTTCAACGTCTCTAAGGAATACGGCTATCCGAAAAACCCGGTTTTGCCATTCCCACTTGGTGATGTCAGATCTTTTCCCCAAGGAAACAGGAACTGTTACACCTTAACCCCCTCCGATGCAAAAGGGAATCTTTACCTCATCAGAGCTTCCTTTATGTATGGAAACTACGATGGTAAAAAATCTTTGCCTGAGTTTGATCTCTATGTAAACGTGGATTTCTGGTCGACAGTGAGTTTCAAGAATGCTTCTGATCAAGTCACCAAAGAGATTTTAAGCTCTGCAGAGTCAGATACAATATATGTTTGCCTTGTGAACAAAGGTAAAGGCACTCCTTTTATTTCAGGCTTGGACCTCAGGCCAGTTAACAGCTCCATCTATGATACTGAATTTGGAAGAAATGTCTCTTTGGTTCTTTATAAAAGATGGGACATTGGATATCTAAACGGAACAGGACGGTACCAAGACGATAGATTCGATCGTATTTGGTCTCCATACTCCTCAAATATCTCTTGGAACTCCATCATAACATCCGCCTATATCGATGTTTTTCAGAATGGTTATTGGCCACCTGATGAAGTTATAAAGACTGCTGCTTCCCCTAAAAGCGATGATGATCCGTTGGAATTGGTCTGGACAACAGACGATTCAAATGCTCAGTTTTACGCGTATCTCTACTTTGCGGAACTTGAAACACTTGGGAAGAATGAGACTAGAAAGATCAAGATTCTGTGGAATGGTTCCCCTGTTTTTGAAGCTCCTTTCGTTCCTTCTTCAAAGTACTCAATGACGTTTTCCAATCCAAAAGCTTTCACTGGTAGTAATGATCACTTGATTTCTCTTCAGAAGGCCCCAGATTCAACACTTCCACCAATTCTCAATGCTATTGAGATCTTCACCGCACAACCTCTAGATGAATTTTACACCACAATCCAAGACGGTGTGTGTTTTCAACTCTACTTAGATTATTTAAGATTCATACTAACTCAAAGTTTTTCCATTTTTTCTCATGGTAATGCAGTTAAAGCCATTGAAAACATAAAATCAATGTATAAAGTGAATAAGGTTTGGAGTGGTGATCCTTGCTCTCCAAGGCTGTTCCCTTGGGAAGGTATTGGATGCAGTTACACCAATAATAATCCTCAAATCAAGTCCCTGAATCTTAGCTCAAGCGGATTACAAGGACCAATAGTCCCAGCATTTAGAAATTTCTCCTTTCTCGAGTCCTTGTAAGTATACTTACCACATATTGACACTTTCCACCACTTTTATTCATATCACCTATAAGAGAGTTATGCGTTGTCTTCCTCAGGGATTTATCTAACAACGAGCTACAACAAAACGTGCCTGAGTTTTTGGCTGATCTAAAACATTTGAAACTTCTGTAAGTGACCACACATATATATAGTCTTGGTCTATTTGAATAGTGAATATGTCTTTTTATACATTGATTTGTATTTCAAGGAATTTGAAAGGAAATAATTTTACTGGATTTATCCCAAACTCTCTTATGAAAAAACTAAAGGCTCGTCTACTTGACCTCAGGTAACATCTCTACTCTCTAGCATTTTACAGAAAAATTATTGAATCATAAGCACTCTCTATGAATCTTGTTGATTTCCTCTGTCTGTTTTCAGTGTGGATGACCAAAACCTTTGCAACTCACCTTCATGTCAAGACAAGAAGAAAAACAACATGGTCGTGCCAATAGCTGTAGCTATATCAGTTATCATTCTCATTGTTGTCTTGGTTATCATATGGATCATACTAAGGCAAAGAAAAAAAGGTAAACTTAGGATTTTACTTCACGGTTAATAAATTTTGGAAGTCAGATCTTTGCTGAAGGAAAAAATGCTTTACTTTCAGGTGCCTATTCAGGATCACTACTGCCTTCAGGGAAGAGAAGGTTCACATATAACGAGCTCTCTAGCATTACAAACAACTTCAGTAAAGTGATTGGTAAAGGAGGCTTTGGTATTGTGTACCTCGGTTCCCTTGAAGATGGGACTAAGATTGCTGTAAAGATGATCAACGATGCATTGGGAAAACCTAAAGAGACATCATCATCATCCAGGGCTTCTAACCAATTCCAAGTCGAGGTAATCTAAAGCACACCAAAGACATGGTCAGATATTTTGGAGAATGATGTTTTATGGTTCCTTAAGTGTAAAATGTTTGCAGGCAGAGCTTCTTTTGACAGTGCATCACCGGAACTTATCTTCCTTTGTTGGATACTGTGATGATGATCGCAGTATGGCTCTCATCTACGAGTACATGGCCAACGGCAACTTGCAAGATTATCTTTCAAGTAATATTTCTTTTTTTCTCTGCAGTTACCAACTGTTGCTTCCTATGAGCTCATAGGTGTTTATGTTTATGGACATGCAGGTGATTATGCAAACGATCTTAGCTGGGAAAAGAGACTCCATATAGCGATAGACTCTGCACAAGGTTGTTCCCAGTTTTGACATCCCTGATATCTTCGAACTTAACCAAGAAACCAAACCTAGTCTAGCCTGGTTCAGCTGTTATAAACCTGGTTTTTATTCCGTATTGGCAGGTTTGGAGTACTTGCACGATGGATGCAGGCCAGCAATAGTACATAGAGACGTTAAAACAGCAAACATACTATTAAACGATAACTTGGAAGCCAAGATTGCTGATTTTGGCCTTTCTAAGGTGTTCCCTGAGGACGATCTCAGCCACGTCGTGACTTCCGTCATGGGCACTCCCGGCTACGTTGATCCTGAGTAAGTTCCTTTACACATTCAATACAGATCACGTGCTCTGGCTGGTAAGATCACAAACCAAGGGGTTTAGTGAAAGTAGGATTGGCCATTTCAGTTATGGGACTCATATGATATCTAATAAACTAAACAAATCAGTCATATGGTGGCAGGCACTACAGAACATTTGTGCTGAATGAGAAAAGCGACGTGTACAGTTTTGGGGTCGTCCTTCTTGAACTCATTACTGGCCAACGAGCCATCGTCAAAACCGAGGAAGGAGAAAACATCAGCATTGTTCACTACGTTTGGCCGTTCTTCGAGGCCAGAGAACTAGACGGCGTCGTGGATCCTCTGCTTCGCGGCGACTTCTCGGATCACTCAGCATGGAAGTTTGTGGAGGTAGCAATGTCTTGCGTCAGAGAGAGAGGATCCACTAGACCAACAATGAACCAGATCGTGGCGGAGCTGAAACAGTGCTTAGCCTCCGAGCTGGATCGTGAGCCACAGAGGCAGTGAAAGAGATGGCAGAGAAGTATGTAGATGTACGTAGGACTAACCAAAAATTGATTAAAAGAGGTTTGATCAATTTATGCTTTATATACATTATTTGTGTGGCCTGATTCATATTTGATTGACAAGAATTATTATAACACTTCTTATTTTTTTTATTTTTTTTGGCTTATACATTCTTGTTTTCGTTCCTGTAAAAATCTTGCTTATAAATATTATATTATCATTTATTTTGGTATAGTAAAAAAAACTTAATTTACAACAAAAGATGATGACGCTATATTTCTCAATTTTAGTTTTATGCTTTTCTAAATACTGTATATTTTGTCGGTGTCTTTATATTAAAAGACAAATAAAACATGTGACCAACTAACTCTTATTAGATCTTTATTTATGACATTTAAATAAATCGTGATTTACTGATACCGACTACAAAATACAAAATATATTTCCGCTTAATTTTTCTTCTTCTGTAACGTTTTTAACTTCCTTAGCTTACTTTTTGGACGAAGAAGATATTGCAATTTAATGAATTGAATATATAAAGATCTGATAAACTAAAATTTAGGTATCCCAATTATCATAATCTAATTATTACCTTTACAAAATCCGAAATAGGAACAAATGATTCTATTTTCTTTTTGTTCTGTCGACATGCAACTTGTCTTTTTCGAGTTTACTCGTTTGTTCCCGAGTTTTTCTTACAGGGTTTGTCATTTTGACGCGTAACACGATCGTTTCCCCAAAAAGTCAATTTGTTTTTTTCCCTTCTTCTTCTAATCCATCTTCTTTACCAAAATTGATACTTTTCTTATGCGAAGGTTCATTTCCTCAGATCACAAAATTTCATCTCATCGTCTTCAACAAAAACCCTAAAAGCCTTGATTTTTGTTCGTTTCAATTGTGTGTGTGTACTCGAAGACTCGCCAGACATTAAAGGCTTGATCTTTCGTTTCTCTGATCAAAGTTTTGCTCAATGAAGAAGGTGCTTCATCGAAGTTTTAAGCCTGCAAAATGGTACATTCAATTTCTCATTTTTTTTCTCCCTGCTCTGTTATTTCGAGTTTGCTTTTGTACCGGAAGATTACATTTGGTTTTTCCTTGTTGTTAGTGGTTTCTGATATGATTCTTGTTTTCGTAATGAAGCAAAATTGCTTTACAAATGGCGGCTTCACGCCTGAAAATACTGAAGAACAAAAAGGATACACAGATTACACAAATGAGGAGAGATTTGGCTCAATTGCTCGAGTCCGGCCAAACCCAGACAGCTAAAATTCGGGTAAGCAACCAACCAAAGTTTCATGTGTTTGTATGTGATCTATGATTTTGAATCATGGATTGTGGATTTTGAATCATGGATTGTGAAAGGCTTATACTTTCTCAGGTAGAGCATGTGGTTAGAGAAGAGAAGACAGTGGCTGCTTATGAGCTCGTTAGTATATATTGTGAACTCCTCGTTGCTCGTTTGGGTGTGATTGACTCTCAAAAGTAAGTTCAAAAAATAATAAAAATCTCAGGCAAAAGTTTTTTTTGAAGGACCTTTCTACAAACTTGTTTCTTTTTGCTTTATTGTATTATTTGTTGATCATTGTTTGTGATCTTACTTTACTTCAGGACCTGCCCTAATGATCTTAAGGAAGCTGTGGCGAGTGTCTTATACGCTTCCCAAAGGTTAACAGATGTTGCAGAACTCTCAGATATTGTTAAGCAATTCTCTTCAAAGTATGGGAAAGATTTTGTTTCAGCTGCTATTGGTTTGCAACCGGATTCTGGTGTGAGTCGATTGGTAAGTGGTTGTTACGTGTTCTCTTCTTTTACTCCGATGTTTGTAGAGGAGAGCTATGATTGCTTACGAGACTCTCTCTCTCTATTTATGCTTAGTTGGTGGATAAATTGTCTGTTAAAGCTCCTGATGGTCCAACGAAGATCAAAATTTTGACGGAGATTGCTACGCAGCATAATGTAACTTGGGAAGCAGAATCTTTAGTTGAATCAGATCCAAAGGAAACTGTATTGGCGGTTAGTTATACATTTTTTCAGTTCAATAGTGTTGATGTTACTTTCACTGGTCTCTTTCTCTAGTATCTGTTTCCTCATTAGCATTTTCAATTTCTCTGAGCAGAGTGGAGCAAGTTCCTGTCACTCTAAGTCAGCAACTGAAATAAAGTCGGAGTCTTCAAGAATCCAAAACAATCAACTTCCTGAATTTCAAGCTCCAGCTACTGTCAATGCGTCGCAGAATTCATATGGGATTGATGGGAGGTCTTCAAGCCGCACTACATCTACTGATCTCAACATTGGGAAGCCACCTGACCACTATCATCAAGACCCAAAACCGTCTGGTTAGTTTTTCATAGAAAGTCATTTCTGTTTGATGTTCCTTCTACTTTTTCATTGTTCTTTGTTTGTGCTGAGCGTTAGATAAAAACAAATCGTCTTTCTTAATACAGGAGATAGAACTGACGGTAGAGTACACAGACATCCCAATCCAGGTCATGGGGGTTCATCTTCATGGGAAACAGAATTTGTGGATGCAACGAGCGCTGCACGTGCAGCTGCTGAGTCTGCGGAAAGAGCCAGTTTTGCTGCACGTGCAGCTGCTGAGCTTTCAAGTAAAGAACGGATGATGACAATGCAGAATTCAACAGAGTCTCTGAATTCATCCTCTTATGATAATGTAAGAAACAATCCCCCACATAGTCGTAGTAGCTCTAATGTGCAAGGCGGAGGTTTCGGTAAGGAAGAAATGTTAAGAGGCAGTAACATGCAAGAAGATCAATCTACTACTAGGGCAGAATCTTCTAAGAAGCCTGTTGATGAGCTATCAGAAAATGCTTCATGGAGGAAAGGTCATTCACGGGAGAACTCATTGGGGATGAGGCCGAACGATTCTTTTGCTAAAATAGGTAGAGAGAAGAAGCAGCCAAGTGTGAATGATATAAACCTAAACAATTCAGAAGATGTTCTGCTCAAGAAACAGTCTAGTCGTGCTTCATCACATTCACACTCAAGCAATTTATCTGATGACAATGATGTCACTGCCTCGGACCATATCGATTCCCCGAGCATCTTGGAAAAAAACCGATTTCAGAGCACTGTTGAAGATACAGAGAGTCACAATGACGGTCCTGATGTTGTTGCTCCAGCTTTTGATGACCATAGCTCGTTTTTCGATAAACCTCAATTTGACACAGATGATGCTTATCATGATGAACCAGATGAAGGATTAGGATTTTCATTGCTTGGCAGTAGCAGAAAAACACCTGATCATGTGCCAACAGAGTCAAGTTCATGGAGCTTCGAAGGACACCAGGCTCTGGGACAACCCAGCTCAGCCTCAACCTCACAGGTTTTTGAGAAGGAGCAGCCAAGTTCTCCAATATTTGACGATGGTCCTATAAGTCCTCCGGCTTCTCTGCATGAGCCTAAGCCGTCTGCAATGTTTGATGACTATGACCAAAATTCTGAAAGTGAAGAAGACAACCTGAAAAGCATAGGAAATGTTTCGAGACATGTACTAGAAGAAATCCCGAAGCTGAAATCTCATAAGTCCCCAAAGGCTAATGTTCCTGATGATTTAGGACGCTACTTTTTCCCCTCAGACACAGAAGACGAAGGAGATGATTCCAAAATACAGGAAGTATCCGACACAGAGACACCTACATGTCTTAAGTTTGGACCTCTAGCCGGTGAACTTAAGAATGAAACAACTCTCCCATCTTATGGAATGAGTCCGCCAAGAGATAAGACATTGTCTAAATCTGTTAAAGAGCATGTCCCAACCGAAGTTGATTCGTCGAGGTCTTCTTCTTTTCAGACAGACAAGAAAGAAATTTACACTCAGAGAGCAAGCAACTCGGACAAAAGACCAAGCTCTATACCTCCAGATTCACTTTCTAGTGATGATGAATCAGAGACGGAACGTCGGGAGATAGTTTCTGTCCGATATCAAGATCAAAAAACTGAGTCAAGAACCCAGCCAACACATCTACATTCACGCGTCAGTCATGAGGACTTGGAGAAAAAAATTCCGACTCGAGTTTCCACCAAAAGTCAAGAGAGGAGGATCCACAAGATCACCCCTGCTTCTGCTTCTGCCTCATATTTTCACTCAATATCTAGTGACGATGAAGATGAGAAAGATTTTGGTAGAGATGCTGCACGCACCCAAACCAAGCCTTCTATTTCCATCTCACGAAGAACGAAGGGCCAAGAGAGAAGATCATCTCTGGTTACTGCGAAAACCGAGACAGTCTCTCATGGTCAAGATTCGCCTCCGAAGCCAAGTCCTGAGGCCAAGCCACTGGCTAAACAACATGTATCAGCCAATCCTTCAAGCTCTCTTCCAAACTCTGACATAGCTTCTCACGAACAAGAATCTCCTTCGAAGCTAAGTACTAAGGCCAAGCCACTGGCTAAGCAACAAGGAGCAGCTTCTTCTTTAAGCTTTCTACCAAAAACCGACAAAGCTTCTCACGATCAAGAATCTCTTCCAAAGCCAGGTCTACAGGCCAAGCCAGCGGCTAAGCAACAAAGATCAGCTACTTCTTCAAGCTCTCTTCCAGGAACTAGAAAAGTCTCTCACTATCGAGAATCTCCTCCAAAGTCAACTCCAGAGGCTAAACAAGAAGGGTCAGCTTCTTCAATCTCTCCTCCCAAAACTGTGACATCAACTGACCCAGTAACTCCAGCAAAGGAGATATCTAGCCATGTTCATCCCAAACTCCCAGATTACGACGACATATTTGCCAAGCTTGGGGCTCTTCGTCGCTGAATTTCTAATACTCATTCTTCCCGTCTGTTGATATATAGATAATCATTGTTTTATTAGCGTTCATTCTTTTCTTTGATTGTTTGCTTGTACATTGAAGTTGATTTTTTCGCATCCTGAGCATAAGGTTTTTGCCTTGAGGTATTTCATTTCATTTGTATAACATGTTTGGCTTCATTGTAATATACAATCAGGTTATTGTCATATATTTTGGTGGACCAACATGGATGGTATATAGTGCAATGATAATAAGAGAATGTAGACTCAACAACATGTTGTCATAACAAATTCCTTTAATATAACAACTGTCTGTGTAGATATTATTCAGATAGCTATGGAAGAACAAATTTCTCGTCCAAAATATAAACTAAATAAAATGTTGTCATAACAACAAGATCTTTGAATTTAGCAACAAATGCCTTATCTAATAATTGCCACTCTGTTCAAAGACAATGCAAGTTACAAAAACAAAAAGCAACAGGAGGAAGAAGGATCGGAATTTCAAACTTTTGTTGAATCCTTTGACACTAGAAGGTTCTTGCCAAGTGCTACCTTAACCTATTCAGTAAAAGAAGCCAAGAACCTGACCACCCACATTCCGTTTGATTGCTTCTTCATGGTCCAAAATTCCATCCGGGGTTGTAATTACAACATAACCCCACTACATGGAACAAATCAACATGGTTAAGCTGTTAAAAGTAATGACATTTAGCTGCATTTCTGAATAGGGAGAGAGAAAATGAACAGACCTGACGTGTTGGAAGAGTGCGTTCAGTGTACTTCTCAATCTCTTTTGCCCTAACGTCTTGCCTATAGGTAAGAGCTTTGCAGTCATTAACCCTCCCTTGCAGATCAACTGTTATTCTACCAACTCTATGTGGATCATAGACTTGAAAGTTCTTGATATAACCTACATTAGCATTAACATTCTGTAAAGGAAAAGCCAATTCCATCAAACACTCTGTAAAATGTAAAGCTACCATATGAAATCGCTATATAGCCATATTACCCCCAAAAAATCCATCTAACACAAGAAGTAACCAACCTGAATATGAAAAGTATATACATAAGCAGAACAAAGCAATGCAGACCACTGACACGAGCATCATAGAAGCAAAAACATAAACTTGGGAGCAAAAAAAAAATTGAAACTTTATCTATGTTGCAGCTTTTTAAATCAGCCAATAACAAAATTAGTCAACCTTAACAATCTCAGGAACTAGTTTGCAAGCTTCTAAAGAAAAAACTAAATCACAGAACTAGATCCTTCACACCACAATGTCATCAGTGAAATGAAAAGCGTACACCTTGTATCGATGCAAAAATGGGAAATGAGTAAGCATCAAGAAACAATTAGAAAACAAAATAAGGGAGAAAATTTCACCTTTCTCCTTCATGATTCTCAGGAACGAAGACATAACGGTGGAGATTGGTTTGAGCTCCACCGAGGCTTTTCCTCGTCTCTCCGCATTCACAATCGTCCTCAACGCATCGTTCAGAATCCTCCTCCCCATTTCTCTCTCTTTCTCCGGTCAAAGTTCCGACGCTATACTAATCGGAGAAATCTAGAACCCGCAATTTCAAGAACAACTCTCAATAAGGGTTTTCTCCAAAGAGTGACACTTTTGTTATTTCACACAATTCATAAGGGTAGTTTAGACTTTATAATTTAGCACGTGCAGGCTTTAATCACACGTACGTTCTCACATTTCAATAACTCTGATTCTCTCATCTTCTTCTTCCTTTTTCAATTCCCAAATTCAACAACCATGGACGAGTTACCTCCAGAGCTCTTGGTGAATATTCTGACTCGACTCAACGATTCCGAATCCCTAGCTCGATGTCGAGTTGCTTCCAAGACATTGAACTCTCTTTCGCGTCAAGTTCGCACCGTGAATCTCATATGCACCTTGTCCCGGTTCTTAAAATCGAGGTCCATCGCCGTCACGCCGTTCAAAGCGATCTTCAAGAGCCTAATCGAGAATTGTTGTAACATCCGCTCAATCTCAATCGGGGTCGATAAGGCGCTTAGAGGAATGTCGTTTGACGACTTGAATGAAGATGACGCCAAAGATTTGTACCTGACCGATGTCGAATTCGCGCAGGAGTGGTTGCCTAGAGTTGGTGAAGACCTGGAGATGCTGTCTATATCTGATTTCTGGATTCAGTCTTGCTGGAGGAAGTCAGATATTTTGGCGCTCATTTCTTCAAACTGTAAGTTTTGATTCTGCATCATCATTTCCTTTAGTTTGGGATTCGTTTGCGAATAGTTTTGATAGGAAACAATCTTAGTTTCTTTGGAATCTAAATAGTTTTAAGTAAAGATGATGATGATGATATATGATCTCATTCTCAGAAAATTAGTTGAGGTGATGTAGTCTGATAGCTCATCAATGAGGCGAATTGAGCAATCCTTGGTTTGTTTTAGGAGTGAGTAATAACATTTGTGATAATTTGTGCTTCAGATTTTCAGGAAATTTTCTATGTATCTGAAGTAATTAACAGGAAGTCAATTTGGAATCATTCTATCGATATCTCACCCAAGTCTATTTCTATTTTGCAGGTAGTAAGTTAGTCAAACTAGAGGTGAAGAATGCTTGGCTATCAGTTGTTGGCCTGACCCAGATGCCCAGTCTCAGACATTTGACACTCGAGTTCATCAGACTCGATGATGAGAATCTAGAGAAGGTCAATGATTGTTTCCCTTTTCTTCAAGTGCTAAATTTGATTGGCGTGGGAGGATTGAAGGAACCGAGAATACATTTTCTGCACCTTAATAGTTGTCATTGGACCTTGTCGAATGCTCCACTTTCCTTGGCTATCGTGGCGCCAAACCTCCTTGAACTCAGGCTGAAATGCAAAAAACCCAAATCGCTTCTCCTCGAAACACCCAAGTTGGTGAAGTTCCATTTTTCTATAGAGGACACCGAAGGTGTAAGTTTTGGGGAGTTTCAAGATCTGAATTCTTTAGAGCTCATTTCTCCCGACATATACAGGCTAATCAGAAACACCCATTTTGGCAACAAGATCAGAATGCTTGCAGTGGACTTAGTCAAGTCTATAGAAGAATCAGAAAAGCAAAAACTTGGATTGGGAACACTCCTCAAAGCATTCCCTGGAATCATTTCTCTAAGTTTGAGTCCAAGAACTTGGTCAGATATCGAAACCCATTTCCAAAGCGAAGGTCTAATACATATGAAGGGAAGCGATAGCTTGAAACTGATAACAGCATGTGTTCAGTCGTCAGATCATACTGAAGTTCATCAAACAGTTTCTTTCATTAAGTCTATACTTAATAACTACAGAGGCTTGACGAACATGAGACTGATGATTCACCAGGACAAAGACCCTAGCGTAAGAACCAATCTGATCTCGGCATGCATGATGAGTAACCCGCGAGTGAGATGGAAATGGGGAACATGGGCTGAAGGAGGTGAAGATATGTGGTTCTCCGATAGCGCCTAAGATCTAAGATTCAAGTCTGAAACTTGAGCGATTATGTATATACTTGTATTGATGATGATGGTAACAAAGAATTTGATTTGATGTGTAGAAGTTTTCCATATCTTGTGCTAAAGTTTCTATATAGAGTTTGTATACAAATATAGAGTTAGGCACCATGTAAAATATACATATTAAAAAGGGGCGTTCCGAGAATCGAACTCGGGACCTCTCGCACCCAAAGCGAGAATCATACCACTAGACCAAACGCCCATTTGACATAATCTCTCTTTCAATTGGATTTGACTATAGTTATTGCATCCCAGAATTAAATTAGGGTTTTGCAGAGAGTGTATATATTAACTCATCGTCATGACTCAACTCCGGCACGAGTCTCGTTCTCTTCTCTATTCCGCCGTCATCTAGGTCTGCGAATATCAAGGTGAGCTTAAATCATCGCTTTGTTTAGCATTATGTCGTTCTATGCTTTTTCATTCTGTCTGTTACTTGATTGATCGATTCATATATATTTTGCTGATAAATACTTTGTTTTTTAAAAACTAGTGAAGGAACTCGAAATGGCAACAGTTCCAGGACAGCTGATCTGGGAGATCGTAAAGAAAAACAATTGTTTCTTGGTGAAGCAGTTCGGTAGAGGTAATGCTAAAGTTCAATTCAGCAAAGAGAGCAACAACCTCGTCAACCACAACTCTTACAAGCACTCTGGTATTACACTCTTGTGCCCACTCTAGATTTATCTGAAATTTTTAATTTTCTGAATCTGTGTGATAGAATGTTGCTTATATAAAAACAAAATAATTGGTGAAGTTAGCATAGTATTGAATTGGATGAGTTTCTTATTGGTTTGATGGAATAGTTTCTGGTTACTTGCTGTTTGGTGATATGATTTGTATGAGCATCTTTGTATGTAATTTAAATTTGTAAGTCTTTTTGATATGTTTACAGGTTTGGCAAACAAGAAGACAGTGACCATCCAGGCAGCTCACAAGGACCAAGCTGTGGTACTCGCAACCACCAAGACAAAGAGACAAAACAAGCCTAAGCTCTCTGTTAACAAGTCTGTCCTCAGGAAGGAGTTCCCGAGGATGACCAAAGCTGTTGTCAACCAGGTATTACTCATTTTCGTAATACGAATGTTTGTTAGTTTTTGTTGCATATAGGTTAAATTCCTAGTATGGTTACGTTTTTGCTCATTAGTTTGTATGAAGAGGTTGCGCTTTACATGTTTGAGTATTTGGAAAATCTTATAGACGGGTTCTTTAATGAACTGATACCTTAGAATTGATGATAGTTTTGGTTTTATGAGCTGTGATGAGAAAGCTAACACGTAAGAAGAGGTATTCCTTTGTGGGGTATTTCTTCAATGAAATACATTTGTTACGCTTGGCTTCTGAGCTAATGCTTCTTAGCTATTGTTTTAAATTTAGTGTTTTTATTTTGCTTTTTTGGTGACAAATTTTTATCTGTGATGAGAAAGCTAACACGTAAGAAGAGGTACTCCTTTGTGGGGTATCTCTTCTATGAAATACATTTGTTACGCTTGGCTTCTGAGTTAGAACTTGTCACTTCAATGGATTATAGTTGCTACTTTTGTTATACTTTGGCTTCTGTGCGTTTATAAAGCATTAACATATAAGAATTTGCTATTGTACTTTTTTTTTTTGTGCAATTTTGATCAGTGATGAGAAAGCTAACACGTAAGAAGAAGACTCCTTTGTGGGGTACTTCCTTCAATGAAATATATTTGTTACGCTTGGCTTCTGAGATAAATCTTTCTTGTCTTCACTATTTCGAATTGTTTCTGTTTCTTTTATTGATGTATTGATCGAGTTGTTGTCTACTCTGTTCAGGTGGTCGACAACTACTACAGGCCTGATTTGAAGAAGGCAGCACTTGCTAGGCTCAGTGCTATCAGCAGAGGTCTTAGAGTCGCCAAGTCTGGTCCCAAGAGGAGAAACAGACAAGCTTGAAGAATTCACCACTGAATTATTATTTTACTTCTAGAAAGCTTGTTGTGCGCCACTGAGAGTTTCAGACAGCAGCTTGTAGGTTAAAGATTTTTCCTGAACAGTTGAGAGTTTTGCTTAAACCACCATCCCTTGTCATCTTTTGTTTCACACTAAATGAAGTTCAAAAACATTCTTATTATTGTTAATTTTTAAACAAATTCTGAACTACTATCGGATAGGCTATACTGAACAAATACTACTATGACTTGCTTCTGACTTTTAACCACAAGTTTTGCAAGTCATGTAGTAATTGGAAATTCTGATTATACTGATCATAACATTACTTCAAGCTATATATAGATCATGTAATCTACGAAAAAAACATACTGTATGTTCAATTCTGTAGCTTCTTAAACAGATATAATCTTTAACTGTAAGATGTTAAATCTTGTGGACTCTGAAACCAGATTCCTCTGATGTCATATTCTCCTTCCAGCTCTCGAACTCAGATCCACCAAACACAAGTTTCTTTATCCCGACATAACTGGACAAAAACAAAACTTTCAATGTTAGCGCTTCCACACTTTTGAACCATATCCAGCTTAAGAACATTTTTAGTTGATATAGAGTGAGAACTGGACTCACTCTGAGCTGATTTGTGTCAATGCATTTATCAGAACATCGAGAATCAACGGCTCAGAGGTCCCAATATCGAGCCTGTCAAAACCATTGTTCACGTTAGAGAAGGAAATCTGCAAGAGCCACAAAAGTTTGCCAAACACAAAGCCAAAAACTTAAAAGGAAAACGTTTTAGGATAATCAGAACTATCACCATATGCGAGCGACATTGTCTTGGACCTCAAGATCCCCGATGTTATAAAACGTGGTGGGCTCGACATTAGCTCCAAGAATAGCATCATAGTTTGGCCTCTTATCCATTGGTGCTTGTGATAACTGCGACAAAAGAGAAATCAGATTCATTCTTATATATATATTGTGTGATTAACAATGCTTGTACTTCCTCAATAAGAGACATACTTGCATATTCATGGAGTTGTATCCACCAAGTCGTCCAAGGATATGCCAGGAACGGATTGTCTGCAAAATTACAGCCATTAAAACAAAGCAGTGAGTGAGATGTTAAGTTTGTCTCTACCTTCTCAGAATAGTATAGGAAATGCTAAGATTCAGCTTGAGAGACTCACATCAGAGATCAAGGCTATGTCTTTATCCAGTGGTGCATTGTAAAACTCCATCCACATGTATGAATTCGAATACTCAAATCTTACAAAACATAAAAAAAAAAAACTGACAGAGTTTACATATATCGATCCTAATCTAGCAGAACAATCAAATGTGCAAACAAAATCAAGCAAGAGAATCAAATAAAAACCCATTTTTTAACTTCAAAGCAACCAAATGAATAATCTGAGGCCACTCACTTGTTAAATGAGACCTGCATCGAAGCTGCTGAACCAGTCTTAGTGTGAATAATTTTGTTCCTCTTCTTCCTCAATCTCTCTTCCATCTACATAAGAGTTCATTAATACTCAACCATTTCAACATATCAATCAAAATTAACCGAGTCAACTCTAAGTTTCAGCTCAAACCTTTACTTCATCAATCTATCAGCTCAACAAGCTTCTCATTTGAAAAATTGTATCAAAAGATATAAACTATGTTACCTTCTTTTGAGCTTTCTCTGGGTTATCCAAACAATCTCCGAGAATATCAGCGAATTCAGGGTCTTTATCGTAATTTACATTTTCTTTTTTGGCTCCGTAAACGCCTCTCTTCCTCGCTGAGAACTCATCCTCTCCTTCTTCTTCAAATTCTTCCACATCTTCTTCCATTTCTTGATCCAGACCATTTACTCGTAGCTTTACACTCTTCCTAGACCAACTCGCACGTATCTCCGGGACTTTCGGTGCCGGAATCGTGCCGGTGACCCGAAACGGCGCCAAATTGTATACGCAAAGATTCGAGTGGTTGTTGTTCTTAGCCGTAGAAGGCTGAAGAAGGTGAAGAGAGCACTGAAACCTTAGCATCTTTATGTTCTTCTTCCTCTTTACTTCTCCACTTCTTCTGAGTTCTGTAAGTAGCTTTGAGAGCTGATACGGGTTTTGGAAGAGATGAAATCAAGGGTTTATCGTAGTTTACGGTGGACGTGCGCGTACACGAATTTTTTTAAAGCTAACGTGGCAAAAACAGATCAACCTCTATGGATATTAATATAAAGCCCATGGGGCCTAATATTAGATCCATAGGACTGAAGCTTGCAGATTAGGGTTTTCTAGGGTTTAATTTCCCTACTCTCTCTGTTGTTCACTGTCCATCTCTGTGCTCGAAAGGTACTACTGAGATTGATTGATTCTAATGTTGATTTTTGTGAATGCTGATTGATATTGATGTGGATGTCTTGTATGGATATGGAATGTGTTGGAGTAATATTTAGCTGTGGCTTTACACGAATTTGCAGGCTTCACTGAAGTGAGAGTGACAGAGGATAATGGAGAAAGGTAAAGGGAGGAAGGAGGAGGTGGTTACAAGGGAGTACACTATCAATCTCCACAGGCGTCTCCATAGCTGGTAAACAAAAAAAAACAAGTCAAAACATTCAGTATCTTGGATTTTCTTATGTGAATTTTGATTTTTGGTACATGAGCTTGCATTTGTCCTAGTCTTCGCTATTCAGATTAAATTGCTGCTTAGGTACTGTGATTCTAGTGTGTCTCTGTTTGAATTGCTGATTGGGAGTAGCTTAGTTCCTTATATGTAATCACTGCATCATTGGTTGCTTGCAGAATTACAAGTTTGTTATATAGTAAACAAATTTCTTACTCGTTTCAGTGGTTCATCATTCATCTCTGTATATTTGGCTAATTACTAAGAGCAATGAATTATGGGGTTATATATGTATACCCTTTGTTCTGATTTACTAGCTTCTTTTGTTAGTACTTACATCTGCTGCGTCTTGGGATTATATGAACAGCACATTCAAGAAGAAGGCACCAAATGCCATAAAGGAGATTAGGAAGTTCTCAGAGAAAGCCATGGGAACAAAAGATGTAAGAGTTGATGTGAAGCTCAACAAGCAAATATGGAGCAAAGGAATCCGAGGTCCCCCGAGGAGAATCAGAGTGCGTGTTGCCCGCAAGAGGAACGACGATGAAGATGCAAAAGAAGAGTTTTACTCACTCGTCACTGTGGCTGAGATCCCAGCTGAAGGTCTATCTGGTTTGGGAACCAAAGTCATCGAGGAAGACGAGTAGTAGTAAACCTTATCTGACAATAGCTTCCTTGTTTCATCCCTTTCCTAATTATTTATATGGAAAGACAATACACTTCATCATTCAAGTTATACAGTCACTTTCTATATGGATTTAAATGATTTAATCTACGAATAGAAAATCCCTGATTGAGTTAACTTTTAAGTGAGATGATCTCAAAGTGTTTGCGATTTACCAATTTACCATTATTTGAAGTATTATACCGTTTTTACTGAGACAAAATTGGTTAAAACGTTATGTTTTTGAATTGAATTGAATAAGATCTACAAAGGAGGAAATACTGTTTTGTTTTACGGGCTTCTCTGACGTAGGAATATTAAATTTGATACTTATATAGGCCCATTAATAAATCACAAATGGTCCTTATCTTTACAGATCGTCCACTTCACTTAAATATCTATCACTCAGAGAAAACCCTAATCCGTAGAACCTTAAAGCGCCGTCGCATTTTAGCCGGAGAGAGCTGTAGTTCCGTCGGCAGAAGAATCCTCGTAATCAATCAATCATGGGTAAGACTAACTCTTTGAACTATTGTTCCGATTTATCGTAGCTGTAATTGATGTTATGGTGTTTGGAATGATGATTGATTAGGTAAGGTACACGGTTCCTTGGCTCGTGCCGGTAAGGTGAGAGGTCAGACACCGAAAGTGGCTAAACAGGACAAGAAGAAGAAGCCACGTGGTCGTGCCCACAAAAGGTTGCAACACAATCGCCGTTTCGTCACCGCCGGTAACATATTCTATTTCACTCTAATTTCGGTTGTTAAGTTAGTTAGTTAGTTAGTTAGTTGAGCTTGTGTCTCACTGTTTTTTATCAGATGATTGTTTAGTTCAAACGCTGTTAGATCACACTGTTGTGCAATTGTACAGTGTTCTTAATGGTATTGGGAATTGAATGATATTTTTCCTCTTGTAGGAGAGAAATGCTTAGTTTCTTAACATTTTGTTATGATCATCTTTGAATTTTATTCTTATCGAGTATCAATCTGTTATGTGTGTGTATTCGTTTTTTAATAGATTATTTCTTCATGAGAGATGTAGAATTTTGATTTTCTCATTTCATTTCATCTTTTACAGTTGTTGGATTCGGCAAGAAGAGAGGACCCAACTCGTCTGAGAAGTAAACGATGATCATACTGGATCGATGAGGCTCGAAGTGTTGCCTTGCTCTTTTGTTTTGCTGTCTCGTTTGATGTGTTGCATGTTTTTATTGGTGGTCTTCTGCTGATGGATCATTAGTTAGTAAAGAGTTCTGCAATATCCTCTTTGTTAAAGATGTTCCAATTTGGTTTTTCGATATAGACTATTGTAACTTTCTCATGCATTTCTCAATTAGTTTGACTTTGACCAAAGTTTTTTTCAATCGATGTTTGCAGACACTAACATAACAGCGATAAAGATATACATGAACGAACACTTGGTTTGCTAGCCTTTTTTTCTTCGTAAAAAACAAAAAAAATATGTTTCCCAAGTAAGCTAACTAATTCATACCAGATCAACTATAACATGTTCGTTAAATTTGCAACCTGATATAGCATTCAATAATCCACTGTTTATTTCTCAACTGATACTTTGGAGGTAGAAGTGTTCTGTAGAGTGCTAATATAAATAGAAAGAGTTGAGTCGAGAGAGATACAAGCTACCATATGATTCAAGTAATTTACGCTTTTAACGATCGATAAGGCTGTAACAAAGCAAAATTTGAAAAGGTTCACTACATTGTAAAAAAATCTGTACAGTAACAGAGTTTGTGGAATAAAAAAGGATACAAGGCTAAAAAATTTCTTTTAGCATTTGTGGTAGTATGTTACAATGAAAAGGTAAAAAATAAGAAACACTATAACACTGTACACACAGACGATCACGGTTTTTTTTTTTTTTTTTTACTTCCAGACCTTAATGGCTCCATCTCTGCTACTTGATATCAACAGTCTCTGATTCAGTTTCACAGATGCCAAAGACTGAACTGAGTCACGGTGACAACCCGCGGTGTCTGTCGCAGCAGCTGCAAGTACCGCCTTTGCCGTCAGTTTGGTTGCCAGAGGCCGCCTCTTTGTCTCCTGCAAAGAATTCACAAACACAATTTCATCAAAAGAGATCATTAAAGGCTAATGCTAATCTATAAAACTTCAGGATATCGTTATGAGAAGGTCAATAATATATATGATCAACAGACCTGAACAAATTGCACGCCGGAGTTGGTTTTAAGTTCATAGAAATCATCGTTTCCTACTCCTTTCAAATTCGGACCGCATATACAATAACTTCTCTCAGGGCTGTGTTGGTTCAAACATGCAGAAAACAAGAATTGCGTCAGTTTTTGTTTATTATCCACAGGAGGTGTGACAAAATGATTGATGGTAAAAATCACAAGTTACTAAAGTTTGGATTTAAGACCTGGAGTAGTCCCAACGCCGAATCTTCAAATCAGTACCACCTGTTAACAAGTCGCCTCCAGGTAAAGGAAGCAAAGTGCGGATACCAGGAAGACGAGGAGGAGGCTCATTCAACTCTTCGATTCTGTACTTGGAACTCATGTTCTGGCGAGGATTCGGCTTGGAACTTACCTTAGTGCTTGGTAACTTCCATTGAAACTCAGAAACATCCGTCTCGTTTTCATAGTTTGCTACTCTCAATACCTACAAAATCCCGACAGAATCAGCTCAATTACAAGTCCAATTCAGTATCCAGCTCAAAGGTAATGGTCTACTCTAACAAAACAGAGTTTTTTTCATGGACCGATTCAAAACTGCACCTCGAATTACTATTAAACTATTTACATCCTTATTCAAACTTGCGACCCCAACAAAAAACTGTAGGCCACTCGAGAAAATCAATATCCAAAGTCAAGGTAAAATATACCGGTAGAACAGCATTACCTGGTGACAGTTACCTCCATCTGCATTCCAGAGTGAAACTTCGTTGCAACCGGCAGCAACATAAATATTAGGTCTCATACTGGTGGACACTGAGACGCTTGGAGGAAGAAAGCAGAGGCACATCTTCTCTATGGGGCATATGATAGGGTATTGCCATGAATTTACGGGAACACGAAATCTCAAATCCCAAAGAGTAAGCACTCCCCTTGAAGACCCAGAGACAAACCAATTCCCGCAAGGGCTTGTAACCAAAGATGAAACATATCCTTCTTCAGGGTTTGCTTTCAGTGTCCATGCATCTAAATCTGATCTTGTATCCCAAAGGTGGATTCCACAGTTTTGAGTACTATACATTACCATCGGACCAGAAAGACTATCAGCGGTATAATTAAAGAGAGAAACTAGAGCGCCTTCTTTAACATCCTTCTTTTTTATATCAACAATTCCTGAATACTTTTCCACTACGTTCCCCAAGCCTCTGGAGATATGGTCAATTGAAAACATATGTATCACACCATCGGAGGCTCCAACTACAACTTGTGTTGAATTCCGAAGCATTGTTGTGCACATCCCTCTACTTCCCTCGAGATGATATGTTAGCCTTGACCTAAAAGAGATGTCCTTTTCCAGTTTTCTAGAGTCCCACACCTTCACTGTGGAATCATCTGATACACTAACAAAAAAGCTATGATCGCTTGAAGTGGCAATGTCGTTGACCGCAGAGCGATGCTCCTGTAAATGAGCTACTAATACTCCACGAGGCTTCCACCCTGAATCCGGAACCGTTGTCCTTGACAGAGATGGTTCTCCAACAAGATCCGCTGGAGAAGAAGCATCTTCTGAAGTTATAGAAGCACTTTTTGAGGAGCTTGATACACCGAGATCTTGAAATTTACTGATAGCTGAGGGGATTTGTTCATTTTCTCTGCTTTCTGGCTCATGTACGACTCTGTAAAATTGTTTAGGATTGGTACCGACATGGAATGACCCAGAAATCAGCTTAGGCACTGGGACCGAACTAGCCAAGTTAAAGGACTTACTCATGGAATCCATCCATGGCACTGATAATGAACCCATTCCCAGAGAGTTCATCTGCAATGAAGACTCAGAAGCCACAGGAGGATTTGTAGCTGCTCGTTTGTCCATGCTAAAGGAATAGAGAGGTATGTTCTCTGGTTCAATAACGCTATTCAAACCAGATACATATGGTGCCATAAACCCAGAGAACTGTAACTTCTCTGGATATAAGGGATCACGTAACTCAACAGTGTTGGAAACATTGGGTCTTGGGTTTCTCGGGATTCTCAATTTTGCATCTTTTTCTGCATATTTTCCTTGAACTTCTTGTTGCTTCGATGCACTCCTAATCTGTGATTGTTCTTCCAGATTTTGCTTCTGTTCGGCCCCGTATTCTATTGAATTCAACTCTCCAGTATCTTTGTCAAACAAATCAACAGTTTCCCAATCTTTGGATTGAGGTGAAGAACTGTACCATATCTTTCGCTGTCTCGCCATGATTTCTGGTTTCCTAGCTTTTTCTATGATACTGTAAATCACTTCCCTTGTGACTTGGGGCTTCAAACATGAAAGTAGACCTTCCTCAGAAGCAATTGACGCAGGGAGTCTACTGAGAAAGGGGCGTATTACTGGGGCAATAAAAGCATAAGAGTCGACTGCACCTAAGCATTCACTACTTGCGGCAATGAAAGTGACAACTGCCCTCCTTACCCATTGAGATGGATAGCGCAGCAACGGATAAACACACTCTATCATTTGGAGGATAGCTCTCTTCCGCAAGAAACTACTCTTGCATAATGTGGATAAGCACTCCAATGCATTGACAATGACAGCCTCTGTCTGATCACTCAAAGCTTGATCGATATAGGGCAACAGATACTCCTCCACACTTCTCTGACCAACAAAAAAGCATACATAAACAATCTTTTCAAAGAATACAGATCTTAGCTGTTCATCTCTGTCATTTAGAAAGGCAGGGAGGATCGGTAGTAGAAAGTCATTACTCTGCCTCTGACCAAAGAAAAAGCAGAGTTCTCCTATGTCCTGAAGGAGTGCTCTTCTAACATTTGGAGTTTGTTTTGGACCCATAACAAGCTCTTGAACAACTTCAGCTATAGTTTTTCTAAGCTGTGCAAGCTGCGCATTGCCATTTGCCTTTTGCAAATGACTGGGGGACTCACTAGGAGGTGTAGCGGAGATCTGCTGGGAATTCAATTCATTAAGAACCCCTGCGTCGCTCAACTGGAAAGAATGCATCAGGAATCCATAGGCAGTAAGGGCAAGTTTTGCAATATTGCTGGCATAGCATATCCTCACACTCTCTTCTGTATCTTCAGGAAGCATGGAGAGCATAGGAAATATATACTCTGGGAAAATCTTCGCATCACTGGGAGGAAAATCTCGAACAAGCGGCAGAATGTCACACAAAGTTTCCATGGCAGCACACCGCACAATTGCTGTTGGATCAGAAAGCAAGGCAACAACGTATGGAAGTACACGCTGTAAGCGATCATCATCATCAATATACAAAGAGCAAGACCTCAATAGAAGTATAGCTTCCCTCCTCAAATGAGGCAACTTGATATTGCGGATACAAGAACAGAGCATAGATGCAATAAGAACCATTCCCTCACATTTCATGTTACCCTCTACCGGTAGAAAAGGTGTGCCATAAGTGTCAGAACGGCTATCATAGAGAGACATTAGTGTCTCCAAATCGTCCATTGTTATCTTTTTTAAGAAAGGATGGCGATTTTTCTTGACTGCATCAGAAATAGAGTAAAGGATCTCATCCTTGGAGTTAACAGTATTCCTGCTCAAGTCTTTCGATATGTTCAATTTGTGATTTGCAAAATTTTCCTGTACCTTGCTTGCGTTCACTGAATTTGAAGGTACAGGAGAATCACCACCAATCTCATCACCTGGCTTATTTTCCATCATCTTCTTCAGTATTTCTTGAAATATCCCCTGGCAAGTTGCTACCTAAACGTAATGAAGCAAAAATATATAAATCAAGTTGATACGGAATGTAGCAAGAGTAAACAGAAATTGTGATGGTTACCCTCATATCTGACGGAAGTGGATTCCAACAACAATATAAAGTGTGCAGAAATGGTGAAAAGTAGTTTGGGAAAACATCTCCCACATAATTTTGCAGGTAGTCTTCAGCTGATAGGCGTGCTTCAGGTTCTAACTGAATCATATGAAGAATCATCTTGCGAATTCCTGGATCAGGAATCTGAATCCAATAAAAAGAGAAAGACCAGCAAAGAAAGAATGAAATTTTTTGAAAACAATTAGCCGAAAACATGCAACTCAGAAGTCAGAACCATAGAAGTCACAAGTCCCATGTACCACTCAAATGGAAGGTGAAAAGAATGTTATTTGAACATCAAGACAATCGATGAGACAAGTTCTTAAGAAAGAAAGATATGGGGATGGGAAGAGATTGATACCTATAAAGAGAATAGAAATAGAAAGATGCGATAAGAAATACCTTTTCAAGGTGTTGGCTAGGATCATGTTGCCCTCTACGATAAGCGAGAAGCTGGGCCAGTTCAAATAATGGCTGACCCTCAAGAAAAAGTTCTGCTATCACACACCTGCAGCATTAATATGATTCTATTACAATATGTTATCAACTCTAATACTTAAGGACTTAAGGTAAGAAAATGTGTTTCCATTTAAAAAAGGTATGTGTACGTAAACCATTAGGAGCATTAAACAGTTTGAGTGATACAAAAAAAGATGGCATATGAGCTCACCCAACAGCAAATATATCCATGGACGGCTTTAATGGAGCATCTTGTGCTACTTGTGTCTCACCTCCGTGCTCATAGAATCTCTGTAATTAAGCAACAATCTGTTAAACCATGGAAAATAAGAAAAAAAAACAGAATCATGACAAACAAGAAAGAGTGCTTTTTGTTTGATGGTTCCTTGCCACCACCTCTAACTAGTGATATGGAAAGATAAAAATCGTGTTGCATCAAAAACAGAGGGATAATATCCTCCCCAGAGGTGCAATGGAACAACTTGACAGATCTACGTTGATCAAATAAAAAGTCAATGGTCTAAAGTACCTCAGGAGCCAGATAACAAAGTCTTTGTCCCCTTGTGTCAAAGAAGAAGGAGAAGTCTGATGGATCATCATAAGGAATGTATGTGGGTTTGAAGGATGCAAAATCAGCAAGGTAAAGCCAGTTCCAGGAAGTGAGCAATACGTTCTCGCACTTGATATCACCTAAAATATTGCATAGTCACACACACATCACTTCATTGAGCCATCAGTCCATCATGATTGATCATATGCTCTCGAACTATTAAAGCTTACCATGACATATATCCTTCTCATGACATTGCTTCACAGCAAGAAGCAGCTGCAGAACAAACAAAATTCAGAAAACAGTGTACCTCAGAAAAACTTTACACCTCAAATAGAATGAATGCAAGACCAAGAAAACAACCTGAAACGCCAACCATTTCTTCTCTACAAGGCTGAGGAAAGGCCGAGTACTCAACCGATCATGCAGATTACTGTAAAAGTACTGCCTCACTAGATAAGCCGCTTTATCAGTCTCTTGCCAAAACTGCAAACGATCAAGCAACGACATTAATCTAGCAGCAGTACGGAGAGAAGCTGCAAAATCATTCCTTTTTCGTCCCAGCAAGATAAAATCCAAACCAGAAATCACTAAACACACAAGCCTAATACAAATAAATCGAATCAAAAACCTGGAAAGGCCAGACGTGAGGATGCTCTAGAGACAAAAACACATCCTTGATCTTAACGAGACGGCGCTCATACTCCCTGAGATCGATCGAGTCACCACGCTTGAAGTAAACCTTAACAACCACCAATCCTTCGTCGTGCTTACATTGGATCGACTTGAGGAATCTCCCTCGACACAGAACCTCTTTCAAGACCAGATTGTACGAAGACGGCAAGTCGTGGAGGTAGTACTCCGTCGCCGAGACTTGTGTCGTCCGAGCGATTTTGTTTCCCATAATTAAATTGTTTTTCCTTCGATTGAGGGTGTGTTAAACACTCAGCTGAATTCGAACATGGAATTTGATTATTCCGGCGATAAACAGAATTGTCTCCGGCGACGGAGGAAGGAGAGAGTTTTGCGTGCTTTGGACTTCCTCTCAGAATTTAAAGTTCGGATGAGTTTTTCCCCAATTCGACACGTTTCCAACTTTTTTTTTCTCTTAATCCTTAGTTTAGTTTTACACATTACATTACAAACTTTATATTCCTTTATGTATTACAATACGATATTTTGGAAATTTGTTAGATTTGCACTTTATGTATTTATTTCAAAAATAGGAACTTTTTTTTTCAAGTGTTACCCAATGAAAGCAATTTTTATTCAGTATAGTGAGTATACGAATGAGAAATCTTATTTAGTTACTAATAAAATCTTATTTACTAATTCTTAAAACTATATCCTTAACCAAATTAAGTAAATTGACTTACATGAAACTTAAATTTTCCAGTCTCAGTAGATATTGGAATTCCAATCAATCTTGAATGGAAGAAAATCAAATTTTCTACTTTCAATGTTTTGATCATACATATACAACAAATAGGATCTCTAATATAGAATTAGTGGATGGATAATATCGAAATATCGATCGAGTTCAAATGGTCTCTTCTTCCTTTAGATGTTCAGGAGAACACAATTTATTATAATAAAAACGTAAGATTTTTACAAATAAAGTGCATCACAACGAAGATGAAAATGTAATGAAATGAAGAGGAGTGATCAAACAGAAACAGCTAGACAGCGCAAAACCTTGTATGAGTTGGGGAGTGAATGAACAACATTAGTCCACTTAATCTTCCCATGAATCTCATCTTTAAGTCTTTCGAACGCAACCATCAAGCACACAATTTTCTTGTTAGGACAGCGTCCCGTTAGTACAAACTTTTCCAACACAAATACATTTTGTCCACCACAGTTAACTATTTCTATCATACGGCAGCAACTACTATAATTGTCATTAACCAGTTTACCCAAACCCGTGACATATCTCCATTGTTCAAACCATTACCAAATTAATCTAACCATACATACAATTTAGCAAATGTTTCTAGCCTAAGGACAGAATCCGAGATGACACTGTTTACGAGGTTTTGTTTTTAACACTGAACAAAATCACATATTCAAAAACTGCACAGCATGTATGAAAACTCAAAAGTGTTTTTGAGTTACATCTTTATCCCGAGAATTCTGAACTGTGTGACGATACAGCATGCTTAGAAGAAGAAGGAGAAACCAAAAAAAAAAAAAAAAAAAGAGTAAACTTAAAGCTTCGTAACTACTATTTCAAAGACAGTAAATCAATAACACATAAATCTGTAAGAACAACAAGTCAAAAACAGAGGAAAGGGGAAAAAAAACAAATTAAAGTATAGAAACAATAAAAATATCAAAGCAAGCATCATACTCCTAGAGACACAATCATGCATGCCAATCTAGTTTAAAATCTCACCACGGAACATGATAACATTTTTAGGTGAAATACTTTCTGAAAATCTCTTCACTTCAAAGTGAAAACAAAATACACGTACTACTCTAATACTTATACTTATCAGTGTTTAGAAGATGACCTTCAAAGAAACAACATAGAGACTAGCGCTCGCAGCACTGAATAACTTTATAATGTAGCCGGAATCAAACAAGAATGCTTACAAAATGGGCACAGTCTATCTATTATTCTTACAAAAAATGCAAACTGGGATAGCCATAAAAGATGTCAGACACTTAGACTGTATCACCAACAAAAACACAAAGTACAAATTTTAATAGCAAAAGGATGACTCTACTAGCGAGTAAAGAGTCATCAAACAGAAAGGGCTATACAACTCAAGAAGTTAAACGACTTAGGAACCGTAAGCACAACATTAACCCACTCAATCTTCCCCCAAATCGAACCTCCATAGCCTTTTTCGAGCACAACCATGGCACACCAAATGTTCTTGTTCTGACTACGACCAGGCCGCTCAAACCTATCCCAAAGAATAGCGAGTTTCCCACCATAGTTAACTAATTCAACCATACAATTACGGAAATCAGTACTAGCACTACGGTACCTTTTCAATCCTTCCAAACCTCCCACATCTATCCACTTCCTAGCCTCAAAGTCATACCACTTGTATCTAGCGCAAGAGTAACAATACATCACATTATCTATCACACACCACGAATCCGTCCATAGTAGGCTCAACTGATCCTCCACAACACTCCACTTACCTTCCTTGACATCATAAACCCAATCCTTAACCCTAGCCTCTGTCTTTACGTAAATATTTCCTTCCACCACATCGATCTTTCGAACTGCATTAAATCTAACCTTACTATCAGGATTCTCCGGTAAGGTCCTCCATGTCTTAGTCTTTATATCGTACATCTCGAACCAGTTCACGTCCCCACAAGAAGGGTCACATCCTCCCATTACATAAATCTTGTAATCAAGGAGACATGAGGACGCGTGTCTCCTCTTCATCTTCATGCCAGGGACAAGTTCCCACATGTGGCTCAGATAGTCGTAAACCCAAAAAGCCGATTCAAAGCTCTCGGCCATGTATTCACCGTAGATCTTTGGACCGATCGTTACGTTTGAATTTGAATATGGAAGATAATTAAAAGAAGGAACGAAGAGATTTCTCCTACCATCGGTTAGGTTTGGATTAGGTGTGGCTCTGAGACGGAACCATCGCCGAGTTGGCTCAGCGAATGGTATGGTGGAGAACCGTAGAAAGATATAGAGGCAATATATCTCGGTGGTTCCGAGTTGAGATCGAGCGGCGTAGAGCTCTTGAGAAGAGATGAGAGAACGAAAGGTTTTAGAGACGAGGGAGAGTGAAGGGTAATACGATTTAGAGATACGTGCCAAGCAGTTAACAATGATTTCGTTTGGAAGTGAAGTTAACGACGGCGGACATGGTGGTACAAGATGTTGTAGCGGCTGAAGCTTAGTCTTTTTATGCGGCGGCTCAGCTTCTTCTTCGGTGATCATCGTCGACGGTGGAGAGAAAAAAAAATCATGAAAGATGGGGCTAAAATATATAGAAATGATTAGGTCAACAGATTCAACAAGCCAATCTACTCATAAATTAATGCTGTCAAAAGAAAAGACAAAAGTAAAGGGAAATATTAAACACGTTACCATTAGAAAAAAAAAATATTTTACTATATTAGTAGATTTATTTCTGAATATATGTAGATACCAATATAAGGATTTTCTATTATCAAACCCCCATAAGAAAAAATTAAATATTTTTTTACAAAAATATTTATTCAACAACTTTTTCATTCAACAATTTTTTTTTATTTTCTACCTTTTTGTGTACTTTGAATGTCAGGAAGAAACACTAGTAGTTATATCGATTTTTTACTAATGATCTCTCGTTTAATATAAGCTTGATTTTTGAGCTAATGGACGAGATCTTCTACAAATTGCTACAAACAAAGTTTTCATGTAGAAGAAGTATTCAATCTTTGGTTGCGGTATGCGCGCGAAAACCTAAAAGGTGTAACAGTGAAGAAAAAAACTTGTCTAATTGTATAAACAACCAGATAGAGATCAGTCAAACCTGTAAAAATTGGCACTGGAAATAATGAGATGTAATGTAACAACTTCTCTCTTACATAAAAATTTTGATATCTGTTATATAACTTGGTTATAAGTTGATTAATTAGAGTATTTCGTTATATATATTTTTCGCTTTTTACTAACAGTCGTCACGTTAATAAGCTAAGGTTAGCTAGTGGATTAGATCTTTCTACAACAAATTAGTTTCTGAAACAAAAGTTTTTCATTTAAAGAAAGAATATTCCATCGTTGGTAATCTATGTGATAAAACTACGTACAAAGGTGTCAGATTAGTTTGTTTGAGTATTGAACTGATCAAAATTTTTTGTCTTATTTCAGTTGACACAAAAAAAAAACAAATGTAGACAATGAGAGAGAGAGATTTTGATAAATAAAAGCATAAACATGTGTCATGCTACATGACTAAATGAGATCGATCAACCAATAAGATATGGTGCTTGCTGATCTCATCTTGTAATGTTTTGTACTAAACTGAAACACTTCTATTCTAAACTTGGCCGGAACGACTAATCAAATCGAAACTACTACACAATTACTCAAGAAGTCAAACGAATAGGGGACCGTAAGAAGAGTATTATACCACTCCATCTTACACCAAACCGCACCTCCATGGTGCTTCTCTAATGCCATCTTTGCGCACCTGATTCTCTTTTTCTGTTCTCCGTTTTCGATGTGAACTGTTACCCACACAACTAAAAGTTTCCCACCATAGTTAAGTAAATCGAGCACATACCCCGGTGCTAAGGAACATGTATCCTTAAGCAATAAGGCCAAATTCGAACCCTTGACCTTTCTCCACTTTCTACTCTTCGAGTCATACCATACGCAACAATGGGAGTTTTTATAACAATACATTACATTCTCTATCACACACCAAGCATCTATCCACATGTTGCTTGAGTGCGTTTCTACAACTTCCCATATACCCTTTTTCGGATCATAAGCATAGTCCTTTGTATCATCCATTACGTAAATCTTTCCTTCCAGCACAGTGATTACTATCTCTTGCTCGCTGCTACGTAGCTCGTCGGCTCCATGGCTCGGCAAAGAACTCCAAGTCTGAGTCCTTATGTCAAATACTTCCATCCAAGCCATGGACTCGTCCTTACCACAACCTCTCATTACATAGATTTTCCCATCAACAAAAACGGCATTTGCACACTCCCGAGCCACCATCATATTGGGGCCATCACGCCATGTGTTACTCCTACAATCAAGAATACGAACAGCTGAAGTCGGTGGTGATTTGTAGGGTGCACCGATTAAGTAGATCTCCGAACCAACAGCTACGGTGGACTGATAAGGTATACAATGAGGATGGGGGCAACAAGGTACCCGGACCAATGAAAATTCATTAGGAATATCATCATCGTCCGTTAGGGTTTTGACAGGTTTCATCCATAGAGTGTACCATTCAGGAGATTGGCTCTTAGGCAATTCTAAGGAGAAATAGAGACATGGTTCTGTGGTTCCAATGTTAGATCGTGTCGTGTAGAGTTGGGGAGAAGAGAGGAGGGAGAGGAATCTCTTGGATACAAGAGAGAGTTTAGGGTAATCCCATCTCGAGATACGGGCAAGAATGTTTTCTAAGATTTCTTCTGGAAGAGACAACAACGACAGTGGCTGATGGTTCTTCACCTTCTTCTTCTTCTTCGTCTTTTTCTGTATCTCTTTACCTTCTTTGCGGATCATGATCGGCAGATATTGGAGTGGAAGCAAGCGGTGGGAACAGTTATAAAATTAGGGTTGTTGGAAGGATTAAACAACGAGCCTTTGCTTTTAATCTTAAAAAATAACGTTATATATAAGAATAAATAAAAATATCTAAAATATAGCCCAATCCAAATTTTATAGGAAAAAGGAGAAGAAGGAAATCAATGTACGTGAAAATGTTTAGCACGCATCATCTATCAATAAAAAGACTATATTAGATAAGAACAAAAGAACAACAACTTTTTTTTTTTTTTTTTGGAACACCGACAACAACTCTAGTGGTAAATTTTTCTTATGAAAATAATTTCTCATGTTCGTCATGTTCATATGCTGACTAAGTTGGTTGCAAATACATGTTTTTGTACCAAAGCTTTATTTAATTCTCTGTGATGATGATTGATGACTTGATTAGAGTATACAAGGTTTTATTTTCATTTTGTCACTTAAACAGAAAAAAAGATATTTACTTATTCAAAGCCGAAAGAAGAGAAGAAACTTAATTGGCCCAGTCAAATCTAGAAAATAACCTCGTAGCCCATACACTAGTCATCATCCTTCAATTAATTTTATTTTTTTTGAATACTTTCAGAATATTTTGAATCCAATCCACGAAAACACATCTTTGATTATTGTTTGTTTTAGCTCAAATACTTACCATTTTTCCAACTTCCCAATGAATTACAACAAGCTAGAGATCATCTAAAAATTTATACAGTTTGTTCCATACGTTCTCATCAACCACTTACCAACAACACCCACACCTCTTAACAATCTGATAAACTAGTCAGACCCCAAAATATCAATGCTTCAATCTGAAATTTCCAAAAGAACATATTGGATTTTCTAAATGGTTCTTTCTCTGCATTTATCTTCAAATAGTAAATAATGCATTGAGTGGAGATTGGACCGTTAAATAAAAACAAAACTAAAGAAAGCAGAACACTGTAAGGGTCTGTCTGTAGTACTCTTTGCACTGGAACCCATTTTAGCTTCTTCTTTTTTTTTTTAACAATTATTTTCGTTTATTTTGTATTCATTTCATTATAAATATATAAATAAGAGTTTCTCTTTTCCTTCTTCTCGGAAGCAGTAAAAAACTAAAAACAGTGGCCAAAGTCCCAAAGAGAGAGAGAGAGAGAGAGAGAGCCAAACATGCTTTGCTTAATTCACGGAATCGAGACGTTTCTATAGACCCAATTTTATATTCTCAGCTGGAATCCGAACTCTGTCTGACAGATATAGAAAGCACACAACGTATACCCTCCAGTGACCTCTCTCTCTATCTCTAAAAATCTCTCTTTGCGTCACTTTTTAAGTCGGTGCTCCCTATTTAACTCTCTTTCTTTTGAGAGCCTAGCGTGAGACGTTACATTTCTGGGTTTATTTGAGTAGTAAGAGAACCACTTGAGTGAGTGAAAGTTGAAAGCTTCAGAGAGTGAAATGGATAAAAGAGTGAAGCTAATCTTCTGGATTTGTATCTCCATTCTTGCCTTTTTTGGTATATCTTCTTTTGGCTCTGCATTTACTTCTTATTCTCTGTTCTGTGTTTCATTTTTACTTCAATTTGTCTCCTTGATTTTAAAGTTCGGTGCTTTACTTTGCTTCACTGGGTTTATCTCTGTTTGATTATAGTTCTTGTCTGATAATCTCAAATCTGTTAGCTTTGGACCGGTTTAGGTGTTTGAAATCGACAGTTAGAGACTTGTTTTGGGGATTTGTTTGAAATCTCAAATGTATTTATAAATTTTGTTGCAGATTGTGGAATGGCAAGCAAGATTGGGATATGTTATGGAAGAAATGCTGATAATCTCCCAAGTCCTAACAGAGTATCTGAGCTAATCCAACATCTCAACATCAAATTTGTTCGAATCTACGACGCCAACATTGATGTTCTTAAAGCTTTTGCAAACACTGGAATCGAGCTTATGATTGGTGTCCCTAACGCTGATCTACTTGCATTTGCTCAGTTTCAATCCAATGTTGATACTTGGCTTAGCAACAACATCCTTCCTTATTATCCAGCTACCAAAATCACTTCCATTTCAGTCGGTCTTGAAGTAACCGAGGCACCAGACAATGCCACAGGTCTAGTCTTACCTGCAATGCGAAACATTCACACTGCTCTTAAGAAGTCTGGTTTGGACAAAAAGATCAAGATATCGAGCTCGCATTCCCTTGCTATCTTGTCACGCTCGTTCCCGCCTTCATCTGCTACTTTCAGCAAGAAGCACTCAGCTTTCTTGAAACCAATGCTTGAGTTCTTGGTTGAGAACGAGTCTCCCTTTATGATTGACTTGTATCCGTATTACGCTTACAGAGATTCAACTGAAAAGATTCCGTTGGAGTATGCTCTATTCGAGTCATCTTCGCAGGTTGTTGATCCCGCCACTGGTTTGCTTTACTCTAACATGTTTGATGCTCAGCTTGACGCTATCTATTTCGCCATGACGGCTATGAACTTTAAAACCGTTAAGGTCATGGTCACTGAGTCGGGATGGCCTAGTAAAGGCTCGCCTAAAGAAACGGCTGCAACTCCTGAGAACGCTCTGGCTTACAATACCAACCTCATCCGCCATGTCATTGGCGATCCAGGTAATCTATCTATGAACCAAAGTTGTAACCTTCAGATTCATAGAATAGATGGAAACATTTCATAAAGTGATATGTTTTCTTTGGTTAGGTACTCCTGCAAAACCTGGGGAAGAGATAGATGTGTACTTATTCTCCCTGTTTAATGAGAATCGGAAGCCCGGGATAGAATCCGAAAGAAACTGGGGAATGTTCTACGCAAATGGAACAAATGTTTACGCGTTAGACTTCACTGGGGAAAACACTACGCCTGTCTCTCCATCAAATTCAACCACGGGTACGAGTCCAAGTCCAAGTTCCAGTCCAATTAACAACGGTAACTCGACAGTTATCATTGGAGGAGGAGGCGTAGGAGGAGGAGGAACCAAGAAATGGTGTATTGCTTCTTCACAAGCTTCAGTGACTGAACTGCAGACAGCATTGGACTGGGCTTGTGGTCCTGGAAATGTTGATTGTTCTGCTGTTCAGCCAGACCAACCTTGCTTTGAACCTGACACTGTTCTCTCACACGCATCATATGCGTTCAATACTTATTACCAGCAGAGCGGAGCAAGCAGCATAGATTGCAGCTTTAATGGAGCCAGCGTTGAAGTCGACAAGGACCCAAGTAAGTATTTATAGACACAATTACACACTTTCAAAAGTTCACAACACATTTTATAGAGTAAATGTGAAGCCACAGTAGTCTAATTTGAGCTCTCAATAATGCAGGTTATGGTAACTGTTTGTACATGATTGCTCCGGCTACAGACGGGTGAGTTCTCTCTGTGTTACTCAATCTTGCGACTATATATGCAACCATGAAAACAAATCTTATTTGCTGATGTTATTGTGGTTACTTTTGCAGATTTAACAGAACAATGGCGGGTAATATCACAGGAAATATAACTGCCATTGATTCGCCCTTGGCTTCGCCTTCGTCAGCCAATGAAGCATTCAGGCAAATGGTGATATCCGTTGCAGTCTCTGTTTTGTTGCCGTGTTTTGTAGTTTGTATTAGTTTTTGGTGACACTGTTGCCTTCTTTTGTCTGAAGTTTTGTAGTTTGTATTAGTTTTTGGTGACACTAGTATTTAGCCCAACTGTTGTTGAACTGATAATTTCTTCCACCGCTTAACCTAAATGTCGAGCTTGGTGATGTATTTGTATGGTTCAATTCAACATGCAATTTAAATTCGAATCACAAACTGTTAGAACCTGAACCAGGTCAAATTTTATGACCCGATCGAAAACAAATGATCAAGACCACTTCAGAGACTCGAATTTTTATACCAAACCGTAGTAATTATTTCATTACTCAAATCGAAAACCAGAGATACACATTATGAAATACAGTACAAGGATGAGAGAAAACATCAAAGCCATCATAGGAGGGAATCAAAAGTTCAAAACCATAACAAATATGATTGCTTCTTCGTTTTTATAAAAGTGTATAATCTTCGTTTGATGCACAACAACAATCAAATCACAATACATGGCAGAAGAGTGCTTCTGTAGTGAGGAAGAGGCTTAAAATTGATATTGGTTTGACGCAAATTTCTGTGAATTTAGAGACCAGACTCAATAAGGTAATCGCCGAGCCTCTCCACAACCAAGTTGCACTGGCCTCCAGTCATCGGTTCATCATAGATGCCAAAGACTAGAGCTTGAGTGGTCTTCTTGATAGTGACTCCACCAGGTCCCTGCAAGAAGTCACAAAATCAAAAAAGGAATGATCCTTTGATTCATTTTTCTCAATCAAAATCAAGAAAAGCTTCTTCTCAAGTTTCGTATTAATTGAAAAGTGTTACCTTTTTCCCTCGGATGACGGCTCCTGCCTCACCTTGGACAACCATGTACTTTTCACCACCAAGAAATAGCCCGGTTGGAGCAAGATGTCCAGCTTCGTCAAAGTCTTTGTTGATTCCTGCTATCTCTGCAGGCTTCAACTAAAACATGAACAAGAACCAAAAGCAATTAGCTTCAACCTATTGAGCAATGATACTAGCGACACAATAGATCCTTAACATATGGTTAGATACTGATCAAAAGGCAAAATGTTCAACATTTTTTTTTCATCTGATGAATTAAAATGAGATAAGATACTATATCCCACATGAGCCAGCAAAACACCTAGAAACGCAAATTGACTACTGGAACCATGGAAATCTCAGAATCAAACTCGACTAACGGGAAGAACAACACTCAGATTTCAAAGAGAAAAATTCATGGCTAGCAAATCAAAACCAGATCCAAGTTTCTTCAGATCGGATCGGAAGGGGAGAAAAGAAAACAAAAAAAAGCCTAAAATCAGAAGATCGAATCAGATCGATGATGAAATTTAAATAGAAGAAAGAAGAAGAAATAGAAGAACCTGAGGGAAATTAGCGCTCTGAGCCCAGACACTGCCGTCTTGGCCTAAGATGGCGGCGTGTGTGAGCTGGTTACCTTCGACATCGCACATGAGATGGTCATCCACGTATGATTGCCACGACATCTTTCTTCTTCTCCGGCGAGATGAGGTTGTATGTTTCTTCTTCTTCTTCTTCTTCTTCTCTCTTAAGTTCTTCTTCTTTTCTTTAGCGTGCTTTGGTACTCGTGGACTCTGAAACCTTTGAGCTTTAATAACACGATTTAAGCATCCAATAAAAAATCTCTTAGTCAAAAAAGAAAGAAAAAAAATACTATAATAAATTCCATTAAATACCTAGTTTATCTATTTACTAAATTTCATAAAGACATTTCCAGAAATAACAACAAAAAAATTGAATAAATCATCAAAAATAAAATTTTGTAAATTTTATAATATCCTTTTTTATTTATTTTCTGTTGATTGTATAATATATTGCACAAAACATTTGTTGTGAGTAAATATAAATAATTTAAAATTACTATTTTCACCTTTTGCAAAGAAAATAAAAAAATAGAAAATGGTGTTATGTATAATTGACATAAAAATTAAGAAGAGATTTTAAAAAGCCCAAAAACCAAAGTATAGAGAGTATGGACATCATTGTTAAACAGGGTGGATATGCTCTTGCAATCTTGCATTGTGTGCCATACACAAAAATTATTCCATTATTTTGGTCCACTCTTTACAATACTAATGTTCTCCTTTCCTAGTGTCATTGTCACTAAATGTTTCTTAATTATTACCCCAAAAAATACTACTACTATCAAAGATTATCAAACCTATTCATTTTCCCAAAATAACTTTTGTGTTATTGAAGAAAACAGAGAAAAACAATCACTTAATTTATATTCCTATGAGATATTTGTGCACAATCGTATTGATTCAAAATGAACAATGAGAGGTGGGTGATACAATTTTTTTTTTTTTTTTTTTTTTTTGTATATATTTGATAGTGAGATTCGATTTCTCGATGAGCTGTTTAGAACCATAATAAAAAGACAGATGGGATTGGAATGATTTTCCGACAAATGTTTTTAATTATTGGTTAGTATTACTTTCCTGTTTAAAGATTCAAGATTTTAAAGTTGATTGACGAATGAGTTCTGCATGCCTGTTATATATAACCCACTTTCAAATTTCTACAAGTGTTTTATGCATGTGTAAATGTTGAACATGAAAGTGTAATGTTGTGAGATTAATGATTCTACTGCTTACATACCATTTTCTATAGATTTATTTGGGTGGAAATTATTTAGAATTCTAGCTCAGCTTGAATCATCTATTATAAATTTGTAATCTTGGGGTACAAAGAATTTGATTATTTATATTTTATACAGTGTAAATTAGATAATGTATTAGACAAAATTTGGAATTGTCAAAAACAACCAAAACAGGCATATATGTAAAGTAGCAGTAACCAAGGCCTCTATGGGTAGAAGAAACCAGGAAGGTCCATTAATTAGCCCAAACTTAATATATTAAGTAGAAGAGAGAAAAAGAAAAATAGATGTAAATCACCCAAAAAGAGAGAAACACAATGGCCGTTCAAAAAAATGTAGAAGGTGGGAAGATTTTTTGTAAAAGCAATGGAAGAATTCTAGAGACCCTGTTCGAGAAGGTAATCACCCAACCTCTCCACGACCATGTTGCATTGTCCTGGTGTCACTGGCTCTTCGTAGATCCCAAACACACACGACTGTCCTGTTTTCTTTATCGTTATGCCTCCCGCTCCCTAATCCCAATCAACAATAACCAATATATAGTCAGAATACGCGTAAATGCAGAGGTTTTGATGGAATCCGATGCCTTAAGGCTGTCGAGACATTATGTTTTTAATCATACATTGATATCTTGAAGTTGATGAATGGGTTATATACCTTCTTGCCACGGATTACAGCATTAGGCTCGCCTTGGATCACCATGTACTTTGCTCCTGCTAGGAACAACCCTGTTGGTGCCAAGTGACCCGGTTCATCGAAATCTTTCATTATATCACTGAACTCTTGTCCCTTGAACTATCAAAACACCAATGTACAATTACCATAAGACAACAACATTTATTATTTGTTAGAAACATATATTATTATTACTAAGCTATAGAATGTATTATGAAACTACAATATGCATATGTAATAATAACGAAAACATGCAAGATTTGGTATCAAATCAGATATAGATCATCCCATTCATTCATTGTTTTATATGATCAAAACTTCATCAGATCCACAACTTGAAGAATATCTTAAATATATCGATTGATAAAAATGATCCATGATCAAATCTACTCAAACACATGATCCATGATCAATGCATTAATCTAAACAAAGTGAGATGAGACAGAGTGACATATAGAAATGGAATAATACCTGAGGGAAGTTAGCGCTCTGAGCCCAAACGCTACCATCATGACCAACGATAGCAGCGGCGGTAAGGTGATGACCCTGACCATCACCAACATCGCACATCAAATGCTCATCAACGTAAGTTTGCCACGACATTTTTCTAGCTCCTTCTTAATTCGTCTTTGTGTTCTTCTTCTGATCTCTGCGTTATTATGTGCAGCGTGTGGAGACTTCGTCCCTCAGATAAATAGGAGGGGATGTAAGAAGAATAGTTTTAAACCGTTGGATCACCTAGACGAATTCTCAACCCTACATATATATTTCAAAAAACAATTTCACAAAATTTAAGGATCGATTTCAATTAGTGACGCTCACGTCTCGCCTTTGTTATAGCTCAATCACTAATTTCCTTAATTGCCACGTCTACTTATTTCCTTTTCTTAATCTCTCCTATTTATAACCATCACCAACGGATTTTTTTCAGGAAATAAATGTTAATATTACTCGTAAATTAATTACATAAGTCAATCAAACATTCAAACTTGTTACGACGAAACTCTTGTCGCTAATTTCATCTGATTTTATTCATTAGAGTTGTGAATCTATGCGTGTCATTAAAATTGAATTTCTTAGTGTCCTTTAGTTTCGTTCTTTTGTTTACAGTGTTGTGTGGACTGGGGACTTATTCTGCGTATAAACGGCACCAAGCATTTGAATGCAACATTGTGTTTGTGTACTAAAACCTCCGAAGATTCTTCCTACAAAGTCATATATTCAAAAACTGTACTGCTCGAAAAAAACACAAAGCTACCCTGGAACTAGTTAGTGGCATTGTTTTTTAAAAAGATTTGGAATACTGACAACAAAGGAACGGGAGGTGAAGATTTCTACTTCAGTCGGTTAGACGATATGATCGACCTCTGAATGCTGTGTTTGAGCTCTCGGGTGGGGCACGAGCACTTGAATAAGCTCCTCCACCTCCTACTGCTCCTCCAGATCCGGTTCCTGCTGCTCCTACACCGCCTGCTTGTCGAACACTTGCTACTGGACCTCCAATTCGATACCTTGCTACAATTCTGTTACTGTTGGGAATGTCAAGGGATAACAGCAAAGCAACTACAGAGAAGCGAGAGAAGAAATGATGTGGATATTATCAGAGAATTTGAATCAAGGATACACCCATTTCGGGGTTTTCAGGTAGTTTTTTCCTGTGGCAAGAGGGTGAAGGACTGTTAGGAAGTAGTATAGATGTCCGGCTATGATGCCAAGAAGATCTGGCATGATCGGAGAGCCGAAGATAACATCTAGTGCGAGCATTGCCCATGGGAGGTAGAAAGCCTGTCAAAGTAATTACAACTTCATTAACATTATATACTTACAAAAGAGTGGTTGGATGAGCTGACCAACATAAACACTTATAATACCTTGAGAGTGACAAGACCGTATAGGCTGATGTTGGCATTTGGAAATTCTCGGCTCCAGAGATATAGAAGCATGAAGACAAGCGAAACTCCAAGGAACGGAGTCCAGAAAAATGGTATGACTGACAAAACCTGAAAAATTGAGCCAGGTAAACTGTTTTAACACACACAGATTCGCAAGTTTTTGAACAACATCTCCCAAAAGCTTGACTTGCTTTACAAAATATTCAACCACAAATTCAATTCCTTGAGAACCTTCGATTATCTCAGCTTTGGGATATCTTAAAAGTTATATACCTTCTATATAAGTTACTTTGTGGCATACCATATACTACACTGTGGTAGGTTCTCAAAGAACAATGATCGGTGGGAGAAAATACATAGGAAGAGCAAAACATACCAACAGAGTAAAGGATCCAAAGATCATCATCCACAAAAAGTCTGCAGTCCGCCTTTCAAATGGCCCTTTCTCAAGTAAAACTCCATATCTTGCTCTGCACAACCATTCCAGAGAGTAAGTCACAATAAAAAAAGTCAGAAATTTAGCTTTCTGCATATATATGGGAGAAAAATAATACTCACATCATCAAAAGACGTATTCCGAAATTGATAGAGAAACCACCGAGGTAAAAGAAGGTTGTTACCAGCCTCCAGATCTACAAACACCAAACAGATCAAAATTGCAAGTTGAATGAAGATGACACAGGTTTGTGAGAAAGGAAACTCATAATAAGAAAAAAGAATCTCGTTTACCTGAAACTGCTTAATTACAAGCTCAGGAAGCAAAGCAATGTAAGCGGGAGAAAGTAAGCCCAGCTGCTTGGCAACGGTAGTGAAGAAGCACAACGTACCATAAGCCTTTGTAATTGGTGGAAGTGAGTTATAGTATCTGCCAATCAATAATACCAAATCACAAAACAGGCAATATAAGAAACAATTTAAGCATATACATACATATTCCATACATACTATAAACTTGTGAAGTTGTAATCAGGTTCAGCTAAAGAAGGCTTTGTTACAAGATAAAAGACACAATCTTTGACTATTTCATTAACAGCTACCGATTCGTGTTACAAATTCAAAGCTCAAGAACACACATACAGCAAAAACACAAGACTTAGCTTCAAGGCGCTATACGAAATCATAAATCCTGGGCACGAACAAACACTAATCGAAATCGAAGCCAAGTAAGAGAGAAACGGAGGGGACTCACTCGCCAGGAGATGACATGTTCGTCCGATTACGAAGATCTGAGGTTTATCTCAGTACGATTCGAGAATTCGAGATCCGATGTCGAGAGATTCAGAAGTTATATTTATTTTGATTCTTGAGCTTCTTTCTAAACCAAATTAGAACGCCGCAAAAAAACAAAAAAAAACACACGAAAGCTAAGAACGTTCCGGTGAGTTCTAATTATGTGATGTTAATTCACTTGTTAGGCAGTTTTGCGTAACTTAACCAATGATATCACGCCACGTCGTTTTCTGGTGACCAGATTTATATCGTAACACGTTCTGATTGGCTCCTAAACTTATCTGTATTTAATTCAGTTTTCATTGGTTTTTTTTTTGTGATGTTATTATGTAAACTGTAATCTGTAATCGTGTTTTTGTATAACCATCTGTTACGAATTATTTTTATGTATAAATTTCTAATTTATCTACTTACAATATGATATTTTTCTTGGATGTTAAGTTGGGCCAAAAAAAGGCTTTTCCTTGGATCGAACTTGCTATATTAATGATAGGCTTGAACTTGCTATTTTATTTTATTCTTCTATAATACAAGTTTCCCACTATACCAATAATTATTTTGGTTTTATTTACCAAAAAAAGATAATGTGAGAATAGCTATAGGAACCCTAACAAATTAACAACAAACAAGAAAAAGACAATGCAGAGGGAATCTAATCTCAAGGAAGATCAAAATTGGAGAAACATAAGCATTATGTCGTGAGCATGATCTTCGTGAGTATGGTCGGAGAACCAAAGATCCGATGATTTTAATTATTAATTTTCTGTAATAATAATTAATTATAACAATAAGAATATGTATGTTCAGGTTTAAGGTAATTAAAAGAGAGAGAGAATCAAAGATGAATAACCTTGATTAGGTAGAGCAGCAGGGTCCATGTGCATGTGACGGGTCCAAACCAAATAATCTTTGACCCGATTTGATCTCACTCCTTTGTCTCCTCCTGACTCATCCTTACATCATTCCAGACGTTTAATCTCTATATTGTTAGGTTGATATGCATTTTGTTTGGCACTGCATTGCGTAGATATGCGCGGGTATGCCACTTGGTTTCTTTTGGACTCTTATGAAGTTTTATCTAAGAGTAGTGTAACTGCTTAGTTGGTTAATAATATGGTTGATAAAAAAATGTGACACTTGTATAGATCATGTGAGTTGTTGGATACGTTATAAGATTTACTTTCGTGATCTTATTATATAACTTGTTAAATACTATTAGTTCGTTGTAATGTTCCCTAGTTTGAGCCTTTATTGGTCGTTGGAGGGCTCAGTAAAGTGGGTTTCATGCATAGTCACGCAAAACAGTTTTTGGACGGCTACTAGTCTAATACCGCTTTTAAATTAGAAACGCTTTTTCTAATGAATGATTAATTTAAAACACATGTGTAATCACAACACTTGAAACGCGTTTGCGTCCGATTAGTGCAAATGAGCCAATCAAAGTCTCTACAAAGCTAACATGTACAATAACTTAGCTATGCATTTTATAGATTAAAGGGGTCCCTAGATTGAATGTGAGTGGAAAAGGAAAAAAAAGGGTCTTGGTTCTTTTGAATTGTTTGACCTATAGATGGAGACATTACAATGGAACTTGCCAATGGCGATAGAGGAACATGCAATTTCATTACATTGTGATAAGTTAAATCCCGGAAAAGGGGGTAACGAGAGAAAACGACATTTTTGCAACCAATAGAAAGGAAAAAAAAAGTGATAGAAAAGTTGCATTTATAAAAGCGAACAAAATAAAATCATTTGTTTGCCCCAAAATAATATAAAATCATTTATGAACTAGGAGAAAAATAACTAATTAATGGAAACAAAAAAATGCAAAGATATAATGGTGGACCTATACATGTTTCAGTAATTCGCATGTTTATTGTCGAGAAAGTTGTATTCTAGCTTCTTCTTTTTTTCCCCATTGTTTTGTTATAAAGATGACAAATTTTACTAGCTAGTGCGATCTTATGTCTTTTTTTTTATAAAAACAATCTGAATATGAGTGTGTATTAACTAACACTCTCAATATAATTAAAACTACAATGCACAAATTATAGTTATGAGTTTTATAGTTCAATATAACGCCAACCAAATAAAACATTGAAGACTGTATATAGTTCAAATTGTGATAGCATGTCGGTTCAGTATGTATGTGTTAATGTAATGTCAAACAATATGATTACCATTGCAATGTCATCGTATAGATCATGTGCAATGTCATCGTATGAGATTCTGTTCTTCTGGATGTAAATGACGGAACATGGTTTTGTCAAAACCAAATTGGAATCCGTGGGTCGAAGAAGGAATCCGACCAGACTCCCATATCGATATCGACTCTGAATAAAAAGGGGACCTAGCTATAGGCTGGCCCTAGCGCATATAGCAAGTTAAATTGATTGTTTTGAGGTTTTGTTTTCATTTGTGAGGAGAGTATTGTATTTACTTACATTTGAATATTCATCAGGAAGGAAAAAATGAAAAACATAGCAACTTGGGCAAATGTGTTTGATAAATACGAAATAGAAGAGAAACTTGATACGTCCTATCAGAGATATTTAATAAATAGAGAGACATATCTATTTCAATATCTTTGCACGTGATCGAGATGTTTTATTGTTTTTAGCTTAGCATATATATCCAATTTAGAGCAGAAAGATATCCAAAACAAATATTTTATTTTGGACGGCAATGAATATGATTTTCAATGAAGCAAATACTACCTTCCTACGAATCAAATCAATTAAGGTACCACTAACATTTTGCAATAAGAGATAGAGAGAGAGACATAGACTAATTGTACCAAAAGGCTTCTATTATCCTATAACTTAGGAACATCAAGAGAAGTAAGTGCATGATCTCATCGTCTACAACATGTACACACTTTATAAGATGGTACATAAATCATAATTAGTCTGACCATACCAGAAAACAGACGTAAAGTTTTATACGAAATTCGAGTGACACATTATTTTACTTGAACATGTATATATATTATAACGTAGCCGTTGGAGAAATTTCATACAATGTAAACTTGTACTAAATAAATGTTAATTTTCTTATCGTCAATTAATGTGTAAAGGATTTTTAGAGCATATTGCATGTGGCCGTAATACGGAAAGAACAAAATCAAGAGTTGTTAATAACGAAATCTCCATTATCGAACTCCAATAGTTAGAATTACATTGGTCAAATACAAACATTAATCAACAGAACTGTTTAACTATATATTCTGAACTACCATTCCATTAGTTGATTGATAAATACCTCACGTAGACTAATCATAAACTTTAGAAACGTCAAATGGATTTCGCAATGTGGAAATAGTGTTGATGATGTATAATAAAAATAACTGTTGATGATGTATGATAAAAATGATTTTGTCTATTCCGCTAACTAATTCATTGCAACTCATTAGAAGAAGCTTCCTATTCAAGATCCTTAAACAAAAAAAAAAACAACAAAAAAGTGGAAAAGGTTTCTATTATAAAATTAAAGTCAACTATGTGTATATGTATTATGATTTGAATTTTCAAGTATATATATGTACGTGAACTTGCTGTTTTAGCTTTGATTTAGTTAAACTTTTTAGTCCCATTGGGCTATATTAATGTTCAACAATCAATCATATGGTATGAATGAGTCTTGCGTGCTATATATAATTGGAATTATTAGGGGAATAAATACTTCATCCTATTGACAATTTATATGGATTTGATCCAAATAAAACGTCTGTACGGGTTGAAACTACTAGACTACTAGTGACCCAAAATAAAACAACAACATAACTAACACAAATCAATATGTTATAAGTCTTGGTTAATTATATTATTGTTATATAAGTAAATCAATATATAGTTAGTTGAAAAATGGATGTTCGAATCATAATATACTCTTTTCCAGATATTTTCCTTAGATTGATATAGTCAGTAGATAACTGATAAACCGAAGTTCCACACTAGTGTTAAAAATGAACGTGATGATGGAACAACAGTTTAATTATAGCGTGACGAAATGCTAGTTATTAGTTGTGAATCATGAAGAAAAAAAATAAAATAACAATAGTGCAATGAGAGATGCAAAATGCGTATAAACTTGTAAACGATGATGAGTGTACTTATACTCGATGCATAAGTGTCTTCATGATGTGTACTCACTTTTACTTATAAATAATCTCTGTACATGTTCTTAAACCCCAATATAATTCGATTTAGCTTGACTTTTGCGTGGAGAGTAAGCCAACACATTACACGGTCGGTCTCTCTAATGTAATGATCGTCAAGCAGAGAGCAATTTGGTTTATCAACGTAAAGTTTAAGACAAAACTCCACGTCTAAGCGGGTATACGTAAATTAGTAACGAGTTTAACTGATTCTAATAATATAATTAAATCAGTCAAAACGCGACCAAACTAAACTACTACTACAATTCTAAAAAGAAAAAAAAGGTATGAAAGCGCCGTCAAGAAAGAGAAGAGAAGGATCTAGAGAGAGAGAGAGAGAGAGAGAGAGAGAGAGCGCCGAACAAACCGGAGGGGGGAAGACGACAAAAGAAGACAGCCAGAGAAATATGCCACGTGGCAAGTCCTTCTCTCCCGCCGACGATCCCTGACGGCGTTACACGGTGGACTGGACGGACTCATTTTATTAAAAATATATATATTAGTTAAGACCCAAAAACTTACGATTACAACTCAACACAGCTGGGTTTTGGGTCCACCTGAACCCCTCGGCCCCCTCCTACCCTCTCCATCCTAACTTTTATCTCTCTTTCGTTTCTTCCATCCGTTTATAAAAGATTTTTTTTTATTTTCTGTGTATATTTTTTTGTCAATATTTCAATTAATAAAATGGTGACATTACATTATTATTACCTTTCGTAATTAATACTATCATTTATTTAATATAAAATTGAAACTTATGGTATCCTAACGTAATATATATATTATTATTTTTGATATATATAAATTTCTAAAAGTGAACATATCTATGACTGTCTTTAATCACATTAATGGATGGCTAACTAACATATTAAGAAATGTTATTCTTGCTAAATTCAACAAAGCAAATTCTGAGAAATTTATAAATGGTTATAGACCAAAAAAAAAAAAGTATTTCAGAGATTCATGCATTTATCATCAGTTCATCAATGATACATTTGTGCTTCAACAAGAAACTTTTTTTAAAAAAAAACTATTTAAAAACAAAACCTTAATACAAAAACCCAAAAAAAATATGATGAATTGTTTTATTGTGCCGCCGATTTTCCCGCTATTTTAAAAAAACCTCATAAATAAGACCAATCAGAAAATAATAATCGGAAAATATAATTAATTATTAGAGAGAAACACAACTAGGTCCCACTGAACTCTCATGTTATTAGCTACAAAAACGAGAAAAGACGACCGACGGGAACAACAACAACGACCTCTGCTCTGCTCTCTCATCAAACTGATATGATTCTCTCTTCTTCTTTTTCTTCTCTCTAAATTCAATTCTCTCTCTAAGTATTTTTGAGATGGATCCATGTCCATTTGTACGCCTCACAATAGATTCCCTCGCCCTGAGACTACCGGAGACAGCTACCAACAAGCAAATCGGCGGCGAAGTGCATCCTTCTTCAACTCCCTGTTACTGTAAACTCCGTATCAAACATTTCCCTTCCCAAAAGGCACTTCTCCCTCTCTCTTCCTTCTCCGACGCTTCTTCTCCCCCGGAATCCTCCACTTCTGCTCCGGGCTTTCACCTCGACGCCGACGCCATCCGACGTGTCTCCGGCAAGAAGATCTCTCTCCGAGTCTCTGTCTACGCTGGACGCACGGGACACTCTTGCGGCGTCGCTTCCGGGAAGCTTTTGGGTAGAGTCGAGGTTGCCGTCGATCTCGCTGCCGCGTTGACTAGGACCGTCGCGTTTCATAGCGGTTGGAAGAAGCTTGGCGGAGACGGAGATAAACCCTCGGCTCGGTTACATTTATTGGTTCGTGCTGAACCGGATCCTCGGTTTGTTTTTCAATTCGGTGGTGAACCGGAATGTAGCCCTGTGGTTTACCAGATTCAAGACAACCTCAAACAGCCTGTCTTTAGCTGCAAATTCAGCTCCGACCGTAACGGAAGATCTCGGTATGAGATCTCTAAATTAATGAACCGGGTTTCTGGTTTAGTGTGTGTGATTGATTGTTCTGTTTTTTTGGTTTAGGTCTTTACCATCAGGATTCACATACAGTAGCAGAGGATGGATCACAAGAACATTATCAGGTGACCAATGGGAGAAGAAACAAGCGAGAGAACGTAAAGGATGGATGATAACGATCCATGATCTATCGGGATCACCTGTAGCAGCAGCTTCAATGATCACTCCTTTCGTGGCATCCCCAGGGTCAGACCGAGTCTCTAGATCAAATCCTGGTGCGTGGCTCATCCTTAGGCCGCACGGGACTTGTGTCAGCAGCTGGAAACCGTGGGGACGTCTTGAAGCTTGGCGTGAGAGAGGAGCTATCGATGGTTTGGGTTACAAGTTCGAGCTCGTGAGGGATAATAGTACTAGCACCGGCAATCCCATTGCAGAAGGTAAAAATTATATTACAAGTTTTGTTATGTTTTATCATTAATACTATATAATGTTGGTCAAATCCAAATTAACCGACCAAATGATTTAGTATGGTAATGCGAATAAATAATACATATTATGGATAATTCAAGCTAACTTAAAATACCAAAACTAGCCTCATGAATGTAGGACATTTACATGGTTTGCTGACTATAATAAAGGTTAGTGGATCTTTATGAATCTAATTAATAATAGTTGAAAAATGGTTACAGGGACAATGAGCACAAAACTAGGAGGAAAGTTCAGTATTGACAGGAGAGTCTCAGGGCAGGGAGAGTCGCCGGCAATATCGTCGCCGGTGAAAGGGTTCGTGATGGGTTCGAGCGTCGAAGGAGAAGGGAAAGTGAGCAAGCCGGTGGTCCACGTAGGAGCGCAGCACGTCACTTGCATGGCCGACGCAGCTCTCTTCGTCGCTCTCTCCGCCGCTGTTGATCTTAGCGTCGACGCGTGTCAGCTCTTCTCTCGTAAGCTCCGTAAAGAGCTCTGTCACGACGACCAAAGCTCACTCACGTGAAAAATATTATTATATCTTCTTTCATCAGTGAAGACGACCACGTACGTACTGACTTAACAAAAGGCCGATCCGTGAACCATGATTTCGGTTTTTTTTCAAATTTTTTTTTTTTGAAAGATCAATTAAACGTGAAAATTCGACAAAGCTGTACAGACAACAATGATCATTGTGTTGTTTGTAATATCTTTGTATCATATTTATTTATTTTTTTAATTTTTTTTTCTTCGGTTTCTCTCCATATGTGTGTTGGTTACTTTCATTATTTCATATCTTCATTACTTTCATTCTTTTAATAATAATACATCTTGGGTCATATGTACTCAAATTTATTTTGCCTGTGGAAAGTTACGGACTTATTGAATTTATAAAATACATATTGATTATGATCATTGGTTCTTTTGTTCGTATAATTTATGTGGTCTATTATACAAAAATCACTAGAGTAGTGTATTGAATTCTCATTAATATAAAGCATAGTTTGTAAACACATGTACATAACTTTAAATAAAATCTCACAAGACAAGGATTTGGCATTTGGAGTAACGTTTAGAAAGAGCAAGAAGGTCCTTGGTTAGTTGCCGTTTCTTGTCATCATCGGCTATGGCAGCATCAACTTCCACTCTGATCACTTGAAGACAATCCATTTGGCACAACAAACGGTGCAGTTGTCTCAGTTCTTTACCACTTCCTCTAAACCCATGTATTTCTAGCACCTCCACTATATTCTCATTCACGTAGACACTGCAATCGATGATGCAGTGCAAGCCCTGCAGAGACACGTCCATATATAAGATAATATACTAATAAAATTGCAAGTAACAAATGGATACTAGTATATAAATACCCTGAGGACTAGAATTTTTAGCTCTGGAGTGTTTTCGATCAGCGTTGTAAGCACTTTCCAGCCTCTGTTTGTTTTCGTTTCGAAAGTGAGTTTAGCAAGGTTTCCAAACCAAGGGAACCTATCCCCGTCCAAACCCTCTTCCCAATAGTTAAGGAGTGAATACATAATCTGCAAAACAGAGTAGTGTTCGTCATGGTCATGGTGTTGATCATATGTTAAGAAAGGGAGGGGAAGGCTTTTTAGACCTCGACAGTACTACAAGTGAGGTGAAGGATGTCAACGTTTCTCATCAAACCAATTTCTTTCGATAGATTACAGTTTTGTGTGGGATGTCTTTTCACTCCTTGCACCAAAGCAAGATCAAGGCGGGCTTTGACAAGGGAATCAATATACAAGAAACGGGCGGATACGGAAAAGCATCTAGAATTGAAAGAGTAGTCGTGTTCGACAAGACTCGGTGTGTCGAAATCGAATAGTTGTGAATGTGTTCGAATTGTGAGTCTTTTGAGGGTTTTGTGGGATATAAAGTTAGGTTGTGGTGGAGCTTCTTCGTGGTTAACGTGAACGTAAATCAGGGATAAATCCTCAAGAAGTGGGCAACCTTGAAGCATGGAGGACAAAAAGTCCTCTCGTAAAACGTAAACTGTGTCGAGGAAGAGAGTCCTGAGCAGTGGAAGAAACACTTCTGGAGATTCAGTTCCAACACAAAGCTCTGTTCCTAATGTCAGCTTAACCAGAGTCTTGTTTTTGAAGACACCGCAAGGAAGGGGACGTGGTGGGAGGCAAGTCCAAGTGGTCTTTATACGAAGATCAAGCTCGTCCAAGTCACCTCGTTCCAAGGCATTAGATATCCATCTATTGGTCTGATCTATGTAGTACTCTTTATCCTCTCGATATTTTAGTGAGAATTTCTTGATAGGTTTGTTACGACAAGACAGTGTTTTCTCAACAAAAGCTCTGAAGCTTTCCTCAGTCTCGCCTTGTGTGCTTTGTCTCGGTCTCTTACCTTGCTTGCCATACAAGAAATACGATTGGTCAAATTCGAGATGGTGTTGAGAGGCAAAGAGATGATTCATCAGTGAGAACAGAGTTCTCCATCTTCTGGAGAGGATTGTGGTTGAAGCGGCTGATTTTGTGGGAAGATTTGACAAGATCAGAGCAAGCATCTCGTCTGGAAGAGAACTGATTCCATCTCTGGACCAATATTTCACTTTTTTCATCGCCATTGAATCCATATATAGAAGCGATGCTGTAAAGAACAATGAAAGCTAATATACACATGCATATATAGAAGCGATGAAATCAGAAAAGGGAAAAGGATCCCTATAACTCGCTCTGCCGCGTGCAGGATAAGAGGTGCATTAATAATTAGGGCTTTCCTGATCTTTTTATATATAGCAAGTAGTGTTTTATCAAATACAGTTTTTTTTATGACGATAATGAAAAAATTTGAATAACTCATCAACCAATACATGTCATCAAATATATTTGACTAATTAATTAAATATAATACTTCTATACACTGACTAGTATCCACTATACATATAGGGGATACTCAATATATTTAATTAGTTAGTCAAATATAACATTTTCCTATTACTAGTTAATGATTTTTTCAATGGCCAACTTCCTATTTATTCGGCTAACCAATGAACGAAACCCCCAATTAATTAAAATTTTAAATTAGTTGATGTTTTTAACAATAGTCAAAACTCAAAAGCCTATTTTCCGCAAAAGTCTATTTTTCTTCATATTATATTAATAATGTGTATTAAAAAAAAAAAAAACTTGCTGCTGCTATATATATCTATGCCGCACACACACACACAGAGAAACATTACTAAAGCAGTAAAAGAAAAAAAAAAAAAAAACCAAACAAAGAAACCTCTGTTTTGTAATATTGATCATGGCAAAGTTATCATTTTCGTATTTCCTTGTACTCATGCTTGTGTTCTCAGGTAATTTTTTATACTTTCCCATTATATGCATGTTTTATAATTTCCAGAGATCTCAATTTGTTTAATAATCATATATATGCATGTTTATGATTATAACACGATGCATATATGTGTTATTTAAAACTTTTTGTAGCATCTTTAATGGTTGAGAGAGCTGAGGGAAAGCGATGTCATTTGACGATTGACACAGCAACTCCATGTAGTCTTTCCGATTGCCGTCTAAGCTGTTATTCTGGCTACAATGGAGTTGGCAAATGTTTTGACGATCCTAAAGTTGCTGGACCTTCTAACTGTGGTTGTCTCTACAATTGTTAGAGCCACGACTGTGTCGGTCCTCATGTTATAAATATTCGATTTCCTTAATCGATATGATCAATAAAAACTAGATCTCCATCATTCTTTATGATTGAATGATTCAATTAGTACTGTGTGGAGATTTCATCAGTCACTTTATTGTTTTTGTTCTATTTTTCATAATGCATGTTATATATGTTCTAGTATTATTTTCATTTATAACTTACTTTTTTCACAATAAAAGTCGATATATTTTCCAATATGATCAGTACGATCTAATTTACTTTCGAATTACGACTTTGCAAATCAAATCTAAGATGATTAAATAGAAGATCTACAAAAAGATACTTTAATTAGTCTCGCACGTTATTATTTATTAAAACCAATCTATCTTTAATTAACTTTTTCATTGTGAGAGATTAGTTTTGACTTCCGATGTCCTATTGGTGGTATTTTACACCAGTTTTATGTATTTTTGTGAATAAAAATAAATAGCAAATTATTCATAATATTAAGAATAGACTCTTATATAAGATCAGATAAATGGATTGATTTTAGTTAAAAACTAATCGTAAGAGACCACCATTAATGGTGCTCTAAGATATATGTTAACTGTAACTTTGAGTCACAACTATATATTTTAAATCAAAGATAAGTTTCCGAGAAATATTGTTTTTTCCCTTTTTGGTATGGTTTTAAATTACTAAAGAATTTTGCTTGAGATTTATCTATATGTACATATATATCAGCTAAGTTTCTTTATTTTGGAAGGTGAGTTGATGGTTAGAGATTAGATTATTGATTGGAGTGATTACAGGCACAAAATCATCAAATAATCAGAGTAATTTAAGTTAGAAGTTCTTACCCAAAAAAAGAAGTTCAAGTTAGAATTGGTCTTGATTAACCTACGATTGACATCAGTCAGTACTACTATAAAATACACTGATTTTTTGTTTTACTATAATTATAGTTATTAATTGATGTATTTTAAGGAATATTCATTTAAAGAAAGATATCGAAAGATTTTAAAAAGGTAAAACAAATGTTAAGAGATCTTGTTTTGGATGATATATATATATATACTTGTCAAAGAAAAAAGAATACCCCGTACCTAGCAACCACTATATATATAGATATACACATAAACATCATTACACCGTATCACCTCTAATTTTACAAAACTTTAAAGTGACTTTGTTTAGTTGTGCAATATTGACCATGGCTAAGTTATCATTTTCATATTTACTTGTAGTGATGATTGTGTTGTCAGGTAATTTCATACTTTTTAATTTCTAATTAAGCGTCTATAGTATATGATGAATTATATTTGTGATCAGATAGATACATAACACGTACGATGTTGTACTTTTGTAGCTATCTTAATGGTAGAGAGAGCTGAGGGAAAGCGATGTCGTTTGACGATTGACAAATCAATTCCATGTGATCTTGTCGATTGCCGTTTAAGCTGTTATGCTGGGTACAATGGAGTTGGCAAATGTTTTGACGATCCTAAAGTTCATGGTCGTCACAATTGTGGTTGTTTATTTAATTGTGATTGAGGGGTTTGCTTTAGATAAATATTTGTGGTGATATAGTATATTTAAATTAAATTTACCACACTTTCTTATTCGATATGAGTAGATTCTAGAGATCTCCTAAATCCTTCTTATGTTATCCAATATTTGCAGCCTGAACGATTTGAGAGCTCTAATATCAATATATCATATCAAACTTTATAGATTATAAACTACAACAATTAAGTGGCAATGACTAGATTATTCTCTAGAGTTCATATTACCAAAACTAAAACTGACATCGTATATGTTGCCCACTATCTTCATGGTATTCAGATCAACAGAAACAGACGTATATACCATACTCATAGCTTGTGTTGATAAAATACTGAAGGCCCATAAGGAGAGTGTACAATATTGGGCAACCCATTTTCTCGTCGGTTAAGTCTCACAATCTTGGAATGTCATTGGTTTAAGAATGAACCGGTACAATCACATGAACCCCGGTTTCATTGGCAATCAAATAAAATATATAAAAGGTGCTGTTTATTAGTTCATACGATCAAATCCTCCATCTAGATATAGTCATATTTTGTTGAAATGTAAAAGATTAAAAAATAAAAATAAAATGAAACAGAGTTAGAGAGGAAGGAAACAGAACAAATTTAGCAAAACAGAGTAAGGTATCGCGTGAAAGGTGAAAATATGGAGTCTAAATACTGTAGATTTCATTGGTTTAAGAATGAAGTGGTTCAATCACAAATAAACCGGTTCTCATTGGCAATCAAAAAGAAATTCTCATTTATTCATGTGATCATAGGGATCGTCCAAATACATGTATGTAGTACGTCAAGGTAAAGATTTGTATTATTCTAAATTTAGCAATTGTAAACGCAAGTGCAAATTTGGTTTTTGCTTCCGGTACAAGAGCCATTCCCGTTGTACTTTTGATAACAAATTGGTATGCACTCTTGAAAGCTGCATGGCTTGCTAAGCTTCACGTTCACAAAACATCTTTTTATATCCGCTCCCTCTGCACTTGGCAAAACCAACAAAGCTATACAAAAAAAAAACAATTTATTAGAAAGATTACGAATGAAACATAATAAATAAAACATTAAAAGCCATATGAATCTGTACCTGAGAGAATAAAGATGGAGATGAGCAGATACGAACACAATATCTTGGCCATGACTTGAGGGAGAACTAGATGATTTTTTATTGTGTTAATCTAATGGAGAAACGTTTTGATATTTTAATGTGGGGGTGGTGAAACGTTTAAATAGATTTACAAGTGACAAGAGATCACAATCACATAGATCAAAAGTCTTTTTATGAAAGCATATTCAAAATAAATACAAAGACTTTGAGTATTTTGACCAAAAATTAAATCAAATAATTAAATTTGAAGAGAATCAAATCTTTTATTAGACTACGGGATATAGTAAGAATTCTAATATTCTTAATAAATTTTGTTCTTATAAAAAAATAAGAATAAAAATATAGAATCATCATATCTTATTAGATTGTATACGTAAATTCACTACTTTTATTAATGCATCAACAGTTTTATGTTATTAAACTAAATAATGGAAATCTATTATCCAATTATGATCAAAGGTTTATATATCTAATAATGATGCAACGAAGACAAAAATCATATATATAAAAGTAAGGTTCCACTCTCTCCTTATTGGTGGAAAAATATTTAAAGCTTTAATTTTTTTTTAAAAATAAAAAAATAAATAAATGTTTATGACAATCATTCAATACAAAATTTAATTACACTATAAGTTATAATCAAATGGCAAAGAAAATGAAAGGACTTAATCATATATCATACAACAAATTTTATAAGCTTTATTGGTGGAAAATTATTTAAAATCATACATATAAAAGTAAGTTTTCACTCTCTTTATTGTTCTATTTTGTATTTATTTTTAACCAAAAAACACATTTAATCATATACATTAATTCATACTTTAAATTCACACTTTACTACTAAAATGAAACTGAAAATTATATAAATTTCCAAAGACTATTGGTTTTCTTTATTGAATTCCAATTAAACACACTATAAATTATAATTATAACTCCTCTAATTTAATTATTTTAAAAATGTAACTTACATCACTTCTTATCATATAAATAGTCATTCTCACATCCTTCTCTACCATATCTCATATCTTCATTATTCTTTTTTTTTTTTTTTAAAGTTCTTGCATGGGGTAAAAACTCATTTAAAATATCATTGTAAGAGTTTGATTAATTATTTAGTTTAAACTTTTGTTTTCAATTTTATTTATTTTTTGTTTTTATGTATTTATTTATGTCTTCATTGTTTTTTATATTTTTAAATGTAATACATATGTATAATAATATTTTATGGTTATAAGAAAATCAAGCTAAAGAAACCATCTTCATTCTTTTATTTTGGATGTTTGTTTCTTTCTCACACATTCATGTATATTTAATTTATTTTCAAAAGTATGTAATTTTTTAACAAAATAAACTTTTTGTTATATAATTATCATACCAATTTGTAAGACATTCTTTTAAGAATAATGATCCTTATATTTAGTTTGTGATTCAACATGTAATAATACAAAGAATATTATAATTTGTTTTAACTTTGAATATATACTTGATTTCCTATCTAAAAAACAATTTGATATTCCATTTTCTATCTATTATATATACTACAAGGATGAAAAATATAATTAAACCTAGAAATATAACTTAAATTAAGAGGAATATAAAAAGAGATTAAAAATAAAATTATTTCTTGGGAATTTTTAAGGTTTCACTCTCTCCTTATTGGTCCATTTAGCATTTATTTTTTAATTATAATATTTATTTTTAATTAAACCAAATATCTAACACATTTAGTCATATACTTTAATTCATACTTGAAATACACACTTTACTATTAAATTGTAACTTAAATTATATAACTTTTCAATTGGCTATTTGTTTCCTCCATTTAACTTCAATTAACACACTATAAAATATAATTATAACTCCTCTGATTTAATTATTTTAGAATTGTAACTTACATCATATTTTATCC